TTGTCTAAAAATATTCTAAAGCAATAAACTAGATAAAGTTTTAACTTAATTAATATTCGATTTCTTATTCTAATATTTAATAAACATCAGGACCGTAGTGCGTAATGTCTACTCAAACATTACATCAAGCAATAAAACCCAGAATATAAATTGTTGATATTAAAAATAAGGGACGCAGATAAGATTTTTATGTTACTAGGATAATACGTTACTATTTTAATATTTATACCTTATTGCCAATAGCAAGGCCGGCTTAATAATAAAAACTAAACAACCCTCGAAACATACATACGTATATATATATATATTAGTAGATTTTTATAACTCGTTTAACTTCAAAGCTTTATTTATTTGTATGAATTTTATTATAAAACAATCAAACAGATCATGTTTGTTCATTGTATTAAACGGATATTTAATTTAAAACACAGAAATCTTCATTATGTAGATTCAAATTATACCATCCATTCTGGATCCACCATTCATTTGACCCTTACATCCATTGTGCCAAATCCAACAGTGACAGATGACTTTGGAATACCGCCAGTGCAATTTAACGATAAAAAAATCTGAGCTGTTTCTATAAATAAATGCAGGTCCTCAGTCCAATTCCGAAATCTTGATCAATCTATTAACTTTATGAAATACTAGCTGTGCCCGCGACTTCGTTCACGTGGAATAGTGACTATGAGCAGCGTTTTTTTAAAAATATATTTTTAAATTCATATATTCATAAATTTCAACCAAATCCGTCAAATAGTTGCGGAGATTAATGGTGACTATGTGTGTATAAGCATAGAATAGTGTTCGACGTGATTCTTTAATTTGACATAACTTTTTTATTTATGAACCGATTGACATGAAACAAACACTATAGCATAACTGAAGCATACCACAATATATTCGTGAAAACCGCATCCAACTCGGATCAGCCGTTTCTGAGATTAGCGTGAACAGACAAACAGACAAAAAAAATGTTAGTTACATTTTTGGGTTCGACATCGACATAACAATAATACCTGCTATTTTTTTTATTTTTATTTTCAATTACAGACAGCACTTTTCTACAATTTTATTATATGTATAGATGATAATGTTATTTGAAATTTGTAGCCATTTCGAATGCATTATATCAGTCCCTAGATATTAGTATTTTATGGCTTAATCTTCTCATTTTTAGACCATCAAAGCAAGTATAAAAAAATTATCAGAAAAGATACAAAGGCATTTAAAAAATGGGTAGATCCAATATCGGAACGTCATTTTTTATTAATGCCCCAAAGAGGTCAGAGGAAAATCCTTATCCCTAAGGCAGCTGTAAACATCCTTAAGATTGTCAGAATTTTTTCTGTTGTAAGAATTGGGTGAAATGTAAATGTGACGAGCTTGAGGGTGACGCCGGAAAACCAATAAAGAATATATTGTATCTGAAATACGACTACGTTCTTTTAGTATTGTAATTATATCACTATTATATGTATATATAGAATAACATATAAAAGAGTCAAAAACTGGAATAAAATGAAATCTTATTTTAATATGTTGCAGAGAGATCTAAAAGACCATCTCAATATGTTCTAGACATTTGTAAGACCTTGTACATAAGCCTATTACTGAAATAACTTACTCACCTTGATACATGGGTAATGTAACTCACAATTAACTGAACATAAATATCTACATATAATATACACAGTAATAAGCCTCCATACCACATCCGTTTACAGAGATTACTAGGTTAATTTTCACTCAATTGAAAGCCCCGTAATCTGAGTAATATCGGCATTACAAAGACGTTTAATAGACCCAGTCTGTTACAACTGGATATCAATCAATAATTAAAGTACTTGTGTTTCATAAAGTTACAGCATTTTCCATTTAAATTCGTTTTGTGCCGATTAGTATGCTAATTAATTTTTGTTTTAGATTCAGTTTTTTAAGCAACTTAAATACTTTGGATTAGCAATGATTCAATTCAATCGTTAAAATGAACTTTTTAATGGACAGTACTTTTAAACATTTTCGTTTTTTTTTCTGCATTTGTCTTATTAAGCTCAATATTTTTGTATTTGATAGCATATGTTATCATATTGTGGTCTTAAAAATTATTAATTGTAAAAATAAACATTTAAGTTTAAATTATTTACAGGAAAGAAATTGACCAATAACCATATATGACGGACAGTATTGTTCATCATTGTTTGGTTCTGTTTTTTTTAATTCTAAGAGATTTTAACAAATAATTTGACACAGCCAGCATGGTACGGAATGAAATTTATTTCGTGTTGTTTTTATTTCACAAAAAAAATATATAAAAATACAGAAAAGATAAATTAAAATCAATGCTTAAATAAAAACAAACATGAGAAATAAAATGTAACTTATAAAAACAATAAACCATACTGGAACTATCGGAATTGTGTTTCTGGGACGAAGACAGCCACTGATATTAGGAAAAACCAAAATATCTATATTCCCGCAGCTTATTTGAGATAAGGATACAAAAGATATAGCGGCTATTGTTATTAAAAAAGACGTCAACTTTAGTGCCTACTTGATTTATGGACGCGTTGTGGCAGGATAATAGAATTCTGTTATGTAATGCTGCGTAATACCTTATTAGTGTTACGACTCATTAGTGTGACAGCGGGGATAATTTCATTAAGATATAGTTCATCGGTCATAATAGAAAGATTATTGTAAAGAATTAATACCACATATTCATACAAAATAAACACTCTATCTAAAATATTACAATAATGGATTAAAACAACACCCTGTATATTATAATTAATTGCCTCTTATTAGGGGGCTGTTGATTACAAGCTATCGTGTTCACGGTTGAAGACGAAATGCTAATTATAATTTTATACGTATTCTATTATATATTCTTAGCAATCATGAAAACAAAATTCTATATTTCATAATAATTTCCTTGTATCAAATATTTATTAATATATAATAATGGTAACGTTAAAATGTATAAGTTAATTAAATATGATCATTATCATTAATGATAAGTAGAAGGTAAGGTAATAAAGGCGGATGAATTGCTTAAAAAATAACAAGTAACAGGTAAAACATAACTCTGGCTTCATATTACTTTTTGCGACAACAATTTGTCAACGTCAATAAAGCTCGAACTGGATTGTGGGAAGAGTTTTTGCGGAACTGTGTTTATTACCATTTTAATCATAACAAAACAATGTACACTTATAAAGATTTCTTTTTTAATAAAAATAATGTCAAAATAACAAAAATGAAGATATGGACTCATATAATTTTGCTCCTTAAAATTCGCTTGGGATTTTAATTTGGATATAGTTGCAAATAACCTCTAAATCTACATGATCCTCTTATTTAAGGTTCATTAACTTGGACTTTCATAAAAATTAATTAGTTTTTATGTAAAAGAACCGTCCTTATATGCTTACGACTGAACTAATAATGATGTGCATGAAGTATTAATGCTGTAAATGAGTTACGCTAATAATATCAGATGCCATAACACGGATGAACAATGTCTGAAACAACTTTCATTGGAAGTGACCCCGAGTCATCCAATTACAAAGTTTAATTACTCGTCAGAGGGTTGACCTGTCATGCTTGAATGCTGTAACTTTTAGATTCCGGTACGTGGAACCGATAGTAGTTCATACTAAACTTTATATCTTTCCTTTTGGACTAAAGATAAATAAAATATCTCCTATTTCTTCTGTAAAGAAAGTTCCGTAAATTTATATAGTCTATTAACGAAAACTAATAAATTTACATTGATATATTTTTATCCGGATACTACTTAATTATTCCTACTAATTAATATGCATGATAATTATGGGACTGACCGTCATCCAATCTTATTTCCGAGGGCTGCAGTGCACTGATGTAAATAAATAGCAGCCATCTCCCAACACTGATGGTTCATTAAACTTTGTAATTGGCTTTTGTAGGTAGATGAGGTGATAACTACATCTTTTCATTGTAAAACATTTCACAGTAAAATCTAGGTTAGACTCAAGGATTCATTAGCGTAGCAAAACTGCATAAAAATAATTGTTTATAATGACTCTCACATCACGTGACTGAGTTTTTTTATAAATATAAACTAAAGAATTAAAAACCAACATTTGTATGCATTCAATTGGTTGAAAATAATATATTTTTTAAATTCAATTGTTAAAATCTTAAATATTTTAAAAGTATTGAGACGATTATAGGTAAATGTAGTAACGAAAAGCTTGGGAACTTCTAAAATTAGATACTTGGAGATTATTCGTTTAATTACAAAGCCTTCACATGACTGGATAAAATTGCATTCCTTCCTAAGCTTTGGACTCCACTGAGATTATAAAACTGTTTCCAATGGAATACCTTCCTGTAATTATATAGAACGCTCGGAAGAATTGTTTTTTTTTTTCAATTCAATTAAAATTCTCAACAGTTATTCTTATAAGAATAATTGCTTGTTACATTTTATTACACTGCATATTCTTCAACTACCTTTTGTATAAGATGTACTCGAGAGTTCAGAGAGCAAGAGAAATACCAAATTAAGAAAATAAATTCGACAAAGTTTCCATTATCTCGAACTGTGAACAAAGATGATATCGGCAACCCTCGGTTATATATCAAAACTGAGTTAACTTTGTTCGATTGTTTGCGAGAAATTTCATTAAACTGCCTCAACTCCAACTCAAGCCTCGCTGACTTTAACTATGATCCAACTATTACATAATACGGCTGTTGATTCTTATTTAAATTCATTATATATTTTTTTATACTCTCAAGTTATTTTATTACCAAAGATTTTATAACTCTGTGTGTTTTGTATGTAAACGATTCAATTTAAAAACATGAGGATATAAAACCTATTTTTTATGTCAACGTATATCGTGTTGAGTGACATTATATTTCCTTGTTTAACTGTAAATGTATATAATATGTATAATGTTTTATGTGTGTTTATATTCTGACTTAATTATTCTTTTCTTTCTTTTCAGAATCTTAAGAATCAAATTATGACAACGAACGTTTGGGTAGAACAGGTAAGCACGACATGAATGTTAATTAATTTATGAATAAATTTTAATGTCTTTAACAAACTGTCATATACTACAGGTTTTTATTTTGTAACTTATAATAAAATATTACCAAATAATTTAATACATTAGATAATAAATATTACGTGAAAACAACACTTGAATTTTTTTTAATCCATTTACTAATGAAATATTCCTTATTTTTTTGATAAACTTAAAACACAAAAATATTGTTGTTTTATTCATTCAATTTTTGTTTTTTGCATTTTAATAACACCAAATTAGACGGAGTATTTCGCAAACTCTTATTATTTGAATTAAAAAAGATATTATATATACTATAGGTATATATTTTAAATATCACGTTAACTTCATTATTTATATATTGGATCGGTTATATGTAAATTACGGATAGGAAAATTCCAAAAAAACCATCGACATCTTAACAATAATTTGGTGTAAGTCACTCTGTCAAGTCACTTTCCTGACAAATGATCGTAGTCCAGTCGGGAATTGACGTCGCAAGAAAGACGTCCCTTTCTTTCAAGTTGTCACCCTTGTGACTAATAGAAAATGTCGATGTACATCCCCATTTTATTGCTATTGTTCTCTTCTTTAGGAATCATTGAGGTCAGTGCTACATATAAAAGTCAATTTGTCAATCGTCTCTTTTATATATCCTCGCACGTGCTTTTTATCAGCTCCAATATAAAAAGATTTGACTTTCTACACGTATGACGATCTTAAATGAATAAAACTTTACATTAAGTTTATAGCAATATAATTTTTTAAGACACTTATTCAGGTAACTGCAATACAATTAGTTTGTTAAGTGCCGTTTTAGTGCCGTTGATGAAAAGTCAGAATATTTAAAATGCAAATTTTCTATTAATGCTATCAAACTTTTATTATAAAACGAACTGAAATATTTCAAGTAGTGCTAAGACGATAAACACAAAGTATACTTCAAGATCCAACTAATTTCCAACGTGTTTTGTTCAGTGAGAATGAAAAGTTTGTTTTTACCTTTTGAGTGGTTTTGTGTATTGGATTACCATTTTATTACAGAAAAGATATATATCTTGCAGAAACCGGGAACTGAAGAAAGCGGAATAAATAAATCATAAACTTGGGTTCGATGATCATAACATTTTTATTATCGGGAGGGTAACTTACATCCCCTTCGAAAGTTAGTCACGTGATAGGAAAGAACACTATTAAGCTTCAGTAGTAAACATTAGTATGAGGAAGATGAAAGACAACAGATAATTGCTATAGTCGTATTACACAAACAATAACATTGAATAATAATATTAAAACTTATTATAGTTTTATTAAATTCTCGATCATCCTTTATCTGGTACTCTTCAAAAGTTGTTCTAAAGTATAAACTAATTATTCCATCATAAAAAAACCAGACTTTAAAGGAAAAGTTGCTGGCTGTTATAACATAAAGATGATTTTCTTCTTAGGAAATATGAAAATCATTTTCGATTAATTATATACAAATTATAGTGTAGCGTAAAAAATATTTTAACAATTTCTTTTTAGTGTTGAACTTATATATCCAAATGTTTTGCACGTCGTTACTCAAAAACGTGTTAAGTGCAAGTTAAGTCCCCAATGATTTATGATATGAAAGGTCCAAAAGGGAGAAACTTGACCAACGAGGGAGAAAGTTCTTCCTGTGAAAGAGAGGGATGGCAAAATGTAACCTTGTGTGCTAAGTAATACGAGCTAACGTAGAAATTCCTCATATGTAGGCCGATGCTGTGTCGTTGAATTTTATATGAACTTAGTTGTCAGCGATCTTTTGATGTATTTTCCCCAGTTTAATCCTGATACTTTTTGTAGTGAAAGATAAAAGGACATGTGTAGTGTACGTGACTCACAATATTATTGTTAAGAAGCTTTCTCGTTACCTATATAAATAAACTAAGTTCTAAAATACTTTTATTTTATTCTCCATTGTTAAAACAAACATGATACTAAAGGTAGATAAACGGAAAATCTTCATGTGTTCAGAGGTTGTACTGCCTACAGGTGCTGTGACGTAATCAAACTATGTATGAAATTATTCGTTTGTGTTATCTTTAAACGCAAGCAATATTAAATTGTACTTTATAAATTCAGTTTAATTTTTAAAAGTAAGAAATATCTATATATCCTTTCGTATATAGGTAGGGTTTATGAAACACTTTAGAACTTTTTAAAACCTATGACTAAGGTTTACATGAGTATATTAAATCATTTATCTACGTCCTCCATAAAATTTTCAATAAATCATTTACGGGCCAAAGAGTTTTAGAGACAATGAAACTTCACAATGGTTTTAACTTTGCGAAGTCACAACTTTTTATACTAATAGACGTCTCTTGTTATATTTTGTTTTTAAGCTAATCTTTTAAGATGTCATTTTTTTTATTATTCTATCAGAAATCTCTTTTACAATAATCATCAAATAGCTTAACAACATAAAATCGTTACTCTGTACGTGGTTGAGCTCTAAAGAAGTAAAATAGAAAAGAATTTTGGCAATTTCTGAAAGATATATTTCGATGAAAAATATTACATAACTAGACGAAAGAGCAAAGCTGAAAGTTCAATAACATTTTTCAATAGTTTATTAACATGGTTCCACGTTACATTCTTGCGAATAGCAGAAACTTGCAGCGTATTTTGTTTTCAAAAATACTCAGCATTGGTTTATTTTCGTTGTTTTTCATACTACGATGAGATAAATTCGTTTTATTTGATTTCTGCTTTAAATCTTAATACCTCATATTGGGCACCAATACTTATTTTAATTTATTTTTAAGAATATTCTCAACTTTTATTTTTCTTTATATCCTCGGCCTTAATAAGCAAAAATGTATATTTTTTCTTTCTTTCCGTTTATTAAAAATGGATCTCGAAATAGCTCTAGTTACATTCTTTTAATTCAGGTTAAAGATTAAAAAACTAATATTTTTTGCTGTTCCTTTAAAACTAATTGACAATCATCGTAATCCCAGGATCGGTTTAATTAAATTATTTTTATTTTTATTACCTTCCTTTAGGGTATAAATTCTACCAAAGCTATATAGAAAGAACCCGGTTTATCTTCGTTAGATGTTTTTAAAATAGTATTCATATGAATATATTTAAACATAGCTCATGCCAAACGAAAGTAAGAAACTTAATAATCTTAAACCAACACAAAGTCAATCAAAACCGCTTGAACACTCGGTTATATCAGGATTACAATGCAAAACGATTCTACGACTTCAGATATCGATATTATTAGACCCATGTGCGATTATTTACAAAGACGCTTCCAAATTAAGGCCACGTCGTCAAATTTAAATTGAGTTTTACCAACAGTAATTTCATTTAATGTACAAAGCCCGCTAAAATAATAATTGAGTTTCATGAAGCAGCCATTCAGATGTTTTAAGGAGCCTTATTTAAAATAAATTTTATTCGGAAAATCTATTATTGCTGCTTTGTAAATCGTTATTAAATGACTATCCGGAAATATTTAAAAGCAGTAGTTAATTCTGTGTGCAGCAATCGTTAATAGATTTTTATTTTATTCCGAAAAATATACATAGATAGCGTTTTAATCTAAAAATAAATTCGAGCATGAATACTTTTCTCATTGTAACAACAAGCCTAAACTTAAAAATATATATTCAAGGTAAGCTTTTGAAGCAATCCGTTAGAAAATAACGTGGACATAAAAAAAGGGAAAATAATAAACACATTATTAAATGTTTAAGATGACGATACTGACAAGTGAAAAATGGCCAAGTCTATTTTCACTTACACCCAGCCAATCGACGTTTGGAGCCGGAATCTAATAAGACCCCGCAATTTCCGACGCTAACGGTTCTAAGCCAACAGACCGGATTTATTTGGGCTCAGCGAAAACTCTTTTAAGACCACTTTCTAGAATATACGTAGCCTGAAGGCATCTGAAGTTAAACGCTTAGATGGAATGGACTTCCGGGATATAAGTGGACAAGATCTTAATGATGTTTTAGTAATGACACAAGCAAGCGGCTTTTAACAAAATTGACCTAAAATATAAACAAAAAATCCAAGTCAGTTAACATTAAATTAGTACATACATTTAGGAACCTCTAGCTGAAGGATGTAACTGGAAATTAAAAAATTGTACTTTAACATCCACAGCTTACCATTTAAAACTATAAGCCTTAAAAAAATGTGGTACTTCATTTATTAAACATAATATTTTTTACCAGGAATGGAATGACTACAAACTTAAATGGAACCCCGACGATTATGGAGGAGTTGACACCCTGCACGTGCCATCGGAACACATTTGGTTACCAGATATCGTATTATATAATAAGTAAGTATAAATAAGTTTTAATTTTATACAAGTACAAGTAACAAAACTATTTAGAAGTAGTAAATATCATCTAAATGAGTACAATTATTATAGACATTCAGAACACTAAAAATTTAACTTGGATAAATGTGGTACAAGTTTTTCAATAGGTAATATTGTCCAATTTAGTAAATCCAGTACATTGTGAGATCCGTCTAATGAAAATATTGCACGCTGTTACTTTCGTTTAACCTAAAAGACCTTAAGGTCCTATGAACAAACCCAAACATTAATCTAACTCAAGGACTATTTACTGTGAAATCAATTTAAGAAACTTCACAGCAACCTGCGTCCGCTATCCCAACTTTTACTAGTCCAATTTCTTTCAATAAAAGCAAACTTTGTCTATAAAATGCGATTTTATTTCCTGGTCCCCTTATCACCGTATTTTCCCCGACGACTACCATTATTTTGCATTATCACCATGACTTTACAAGTTTATCGAAACCACAACAAATATACTACTCTCAACTCTCTTTCATGTTGCAAAAGTTTTCTCTCTGACATCATAAGCCAGCATTTTATTGTGTAAATTGCATAGCAAAAACTTTATAGCGTCTATTTTATTTTGTAATTAAATTGCATTTTCTAGTTCCAATTAATTTAATTCAAAAGTTACTTAAATGGATTTCTCAAATCAAAGTTAATGCGAAATTAATTAGGAAAGACGAATTCAGTTCAATAAATTCTTAAATCTAATTGCAATGAGGTCATCTTAGTTACATCCAATTGTTATTAGTAGCTTATCGACGTTTCGGTAAATTTACGCAACCCATAACTACTTCAAGGGAACAGAGTATTTATTTCTCGTTGCATAGAGTTGAATTTCAATGTAGGCAGACAGCAGCATTACAAAAATGTGCCTGAACCTATTCGAGCGAAATTCACGATAAGTTCAGGCTTTAATCTAAATAGCTTGAAGGTGGCATTAAACATGGTACGAAAAACACTAACTAAATCGCATCAAACGGGAACAAATGCTTCTTTCAACTGTAATTGCAAAGAAATAAATGAGGAATTAGTAGCTGGGAACTTTTGCCTTTGTAGTTAGAAAGTCGAAGAGGAGTTGCAATTTATTTAAAGAGAGAACAAGATTACATTTAAAAAGATTTCATTACAGGTGAAATTGTTAAGATTTTTACTTCTGTGAAAAGAATGTTAAAGATCAACATCGAATAACATATAAAATGCAATGGTACTCTGATACCGCATTTGAAATAAAGTTACAAGTATATGAACGAAAAGACTGCTTAAGTCAACTATTTTTATCCAAATCCTCACAGAATCTGATTAATAAATAGAAAGACCCGTGATCAATATTAAGAAATACTGTTAGTATACACTTAATATAAATAAACGTGTGTTTTGAATGATGTATAAATTATACTTAAACACACAGAATATAGTTCTCATAAGATATTCCTTTCACAGGCCTCCATTCTTCATCTGCCGTCCTCCCGCCTTTTACCGTATCGAAATATCAATAGATATTTGACTGGAGTAAAATATTTTTTTCATATATCTTCTCTGAAAATCATATTACCGCTGGAACCCCACATTCGTTTCCTTGATATGCTAGAGCGAAAAACATTTTCTTTGACATTGATTTAATTTGGACTGACGAATATATTAAAATATAACATGTGCAATAAAAATATGTATTACAAACTTCGAAATAGTATTTACAGTAGGACGCACTATTTTGTCAAATAAAAAAAATGCTTTACAATCTTTGAATCTTTAAATTTTGCTTGTTTGGGTTTTTTTTGTGTGTTCTATTAATGTAATAGTAAATTCATAATACAAATAGAGTCTGATATGACGGTAATATTTTTAAATATAAGCGGGCTGGGGTTAGCGTTTAATGCACCTGTGACTGCCCTAAAAGCTCTCTCGAATATTCGTTGTAAACTTTATTTTTAATGGTACGTTAGCGTAATGGAAGACAACATGGCTCGTATTTTATGAGACAATTTTCACGGATGTGAAACTTGGCTATGACAACGCTTTTAGAGATGCCGACAACGAAATTTGCTTAAGTCAGTCAAGTCTTTGAATGAAGTGTTTTCTTGTAACAAAATTGACGGCTTAATTTTAACTTAAACTGATTTTGTAAATTTGCTACGTGCTTTGTCCTCATGTTGACATTTAAGATTTCATCGTTTATTTCAGTTTGATAAAGTTTATTAATACTTTTTGACTTCTGAATATTTATGGGATTGGATTTTTAACTTTGATTAAATGTAAATATTGTTTTAACTCAAATAAAACTTAATTACAATGACGCTATTCTGTAAATATTGTAAAAACTTTAAACTTGGAATCTTAAAGTTTGAAATTTAAAAAAAGTAGAAACTAGTTTCAAAGTATTATTCTATACTTAACATTTTCTTTTTATAGAAATTTAATATTTATATCAAGAATTTAAAATGTATAACCTTTTTAAAATTCATTTTAGACATATCATCAATGATAAATATGAATAATAAAAAAATGATTAAACATATGATTGCAAATGACGGGTATTTCTTTCGCTTGACTGTTATTATTTATCGGCAAAATCTTCTAAACGCTTATTCATTTACCATTCACTGTGACTATAATCAGAAAACTTCTTTTTCCAAATTAAAACTATTCCATTCTACACAAACTACGTATGCATAATTATATGTAATATACATTTTTTGTTGAATAAATAACAAATTAATTAAAATACAGTGCAACAAGTGATTCTATTAAAAACTTAAGTAGATAAGTAAAATGACAATGCATGGTATTAATGTATCAGCTCAAACGCCGAAGTTACCGGCTCAGCTAGCTATTTGCGGTTTCCTCCGTAGTACGACCCTCCCACAACCTGTTCTGTAACCGATATCCATTGGTCGTTATTAGTATTAAAGACATACATTCATTATATATAAGTCGCAATGTAAAGCAATCACATTGTTAATTACGCATAATGGAACCGAGAATAAACAAGCAATATAATAGGTATTAACAGTTTGTTAATTACGTGTCAGCAAACGATATAATATGATTTTATGTTTTGATCTTGTAAACCAAATATAACTGGTATCTCATTGGCTTTTAAATATACACTTTAAAATTAACATTGAATTTCTTTAGAAGATTTATGTAAAAAAAAAAACACAAAGATAATATTGATAGTACAAAGCGATAATATTTATATACATGATTAATTTGTATATAATTAATAACATACGATTCAATATGGTTCCATGCTATAAATATTTAAAACATTTCAGCGCGGATGGAAATTACGAAGTTACGATTATGACAAAAGCGATTCTACATCACGACGGAAAAGTTGTCTGGAAACCGCCTGCCATATATAAGTCCTTTTGTGAAATCGACGTGGAGTACTTCCCCTTCGACGAACAAACATGTTTCATGAAGTTCGGCTCATGGAGCTACGACGGTTATACGGTGAGGAAATCTAATTTAATACTAAGTTAACATAAACTAACTAAATAAAAATATTTCATAATAAAAATAGTCTATCGTCACATCAACTGATAGTGTTTAAATCAATCAAAAGAACAGTAAATGCTTTGATAAATGTTATTTCCTTTTTCCCAAAAAATTTTTCCCTATACAATCTCAGAAAATATATTGACGTTCTATAAATAATGCGGGCGGTGAGATATGCTTGGCAATGAAAGACGGGATGTTATAAAAACTCGGATGGAGTTTGGCGATAGGCTGAAAGACGAACGAATCTATCTATATCAAGTGAGGAAGCCAATAAATCTAGAAGGTTCCGGTTTTGTCATAAATAAAGCAAAGGCTTGCGTTTACGGCTTATATCGCCACTGTTAGGTCCACTAGGGATTTTTGATATCTGCCTGTTTTCTACTTAGGATTATTAACCACATATGATATTTAAAAATAAAATTTTATTCTTCGAAAATACTATCATTTTGAGAATTTTATTACGAGCATAAATAATATTGCTGCCTGCACAGCTTCACAGTTTAATTTAACATTATTTTTTTATGTATTGATTATCATTTTAAAGGAAATAACAATTATTTTAAGAAATGAACTAAATAACAGAAAAAACTATAAACTGTACAGTTTGAAAGCTTAAAATAATTAATTAGGTAAAGATAAAGCATAATAATTGTTATTGAATAATTAAGATAATATTGAAATAATGTCCGTATATTATAAGTTATTATTATTCCAGGTGGACTTGAGGCATTTAAAGCAAACACCAGATTCTGATCACATAGGAATGGGTATTGATTTGTCGGAATACTACATTTCTGTGGAATGGGACATAATGCGGGTACCGGCAACGCGGAACGAAAAGTTCTACTCGTGCTGCGAAGAACCTTATCCTGATATAATTTTCAACCTCACACTTAGGAGGAAAACTCTCTTCTATACGGTCAATCTAATCATACCCTGTGTTGGAATTTCATTTCTATCAGTACTTGTCTTTTATCTGCCTTCAGATTCAGGGGAAAAAATTTCACTTTGCATCTCTATCCTACTTTCTTTGACCGTGTTCTTTCTATTGTTAGCAGAAATTATCCCACCCACTTCTCTCACTGTTCCTTTATTAGGAAAATATTTGTTATTTACAATGATGCTTGTAACATTATCTGTCGTTGTCACTATCGTGGTGCTAAACGTAAATTTTAGATCACCAGTAACTCACCACATGGCTCCTTGGGTTCGAAAAGTCTTTATTGATTTTTTACCCCGAATATTATGTATACAAAGGCCAGAAAAACCACCCGATGATGACGAAAACGATAAACCTTCTGAGGTAAATATTAAAATATTCTTTTTATACACACATTATTTACTAAATACAAAACACAATGAAAGTAGAGTTGTCAGAATAGTTTTTATCAACACGTCTTAGTCTATAATAATTTAGCCGTATAACACTATGTCCTGAAATTATATTATAATATAAAAAAACGGTAGAGTTAACTTTTGTATAAAAACAATGATACAGAATATATTCTTACAGCTTTATTCAAAGTATGAGCAATTGGATAGATTCAATACAAATGCTATAAAGTCACAAGTCCTTTAGCAGTTACAATTTTAATTATCTTTAACCATATACTTCGTTATAAAATACTTCCAAAAATATTGTAACAGAACATTTCCGTCGGTATCTTGAAAATTCCAACCCAATTTTATTTCATTTCGATTTTCCTTTATTACTCAATGCCGGGGGGCTTAACGAGCGCGCACGGCCTCCCTTATTTATGTTTCTCTGGTGACTGCGGACGGATCGCGATATACGAGCCGGCAGACATGGCTTGAAAACGAGACCTACACTCCAACTTAATTGTGTGTCAGCTTAAACTACGACATTACAAGGATCTTACAATCCTTACTGAAGCTTTAATCTCAATGTATCAGATAGGACTGTTTTTAAATTACTTCTATATCTGTTGCTAATCAATGGTGAAGGAAAACATCGTGAGGAAACCTGGACTTATAGTTTCACAATTATAAGTTTGAAATCACCAACCCGTCTTGAGCAAGCGTGGTGATTAATGCTCAAAACCTTCTCCATGTGAGAAGAGGCTATGCTCAGCAGCGGGCTCTGATAGGTTGATGACTGTTGCTAATTCATATTTATTTCGTAGGTTCTTACGGACGTGTTTGGTGAAGACGACATGGATGGGAAATTTAAAGAGTGGGGATGTGAAGAATATGAACTACCAGGTATGCCACCGTCCCCACCACCTCCTCCGGGAGGTGACGATGAGTTGTTCTCTCCACCTCCGGGATCACCATGTCGAATAGAACTCGATGATGGTAGTCCATCTTTCGAAAAACCTTTCGTTAGAGAAATGGAAAAAACGATAGAAGGTTCCAGATTTATTGCTCAGCATGTAAAAAATAAGGATAAGTTTGAAAGTGTAAGTAAATTGACTTGTTTTTTTTCTCATTCTCTGAAAAGAAAATAATTTTATTTCATTTCTTAGGTGGAGGACGATTGGAAATACGTTGCGATGGTCTTGGATAGAATTTTCCTGTTTGCGTTTACGATAGCTTGTGTACTCGGTACGGCGCTCATTATATTTAGGGCGCCAACGTTTTATGATAACACGAAGCCTATCGATATTCTGTACTCGAAAATTGCTAAGAAGAAGTTGGAGCTACTTAAAATGGGTTCCGAGAGTGATCCGGGTCTCTGAAATTCGTCTTACGTCTTCGGTCACTCGCCGCCGAAGACGTTCTGGGAGCTAATCGTTATGTGGTGGCACGGATGATCAATGTAAAGCTCCCGGGGGGGAAGTTTGAGGCGAGAACATGTTTTGTGCTCAGTGTGGTGCCAAGCGCTTCGTGCGCCGCGGGACGTATACACGCCGCTTGAGTGTCTAAAACCGTCTTTTATATACAAACTCTTTGTGAGACTGTGTCCGTCGATAGTCGAAACAAGAACGGAGAAACCTCACGACATAGCCACGTTATGTTGACGTCAAATATGCCGTCAGTATTTTTTATATTTGAATGGCTGTATTAATGTAACTATGTAATTCATAAGCGTATTTTTTTTATTATCGTTTTTTTTTTGTGATATACTTTCTTTTTCAAATGTTGTTTAATATGACGCACAAAGAAGGTTAAAAAGTTTAATTATAGAGATTGTATTATTTTCTTATAAAGTTGTGTTGCGTATTCGAAATGTGGAATGAAATTTTGTCACACACTTACCATAATAAGGTTTAATTCGAATAAACGAGCTCAATTTCGTAATTATTAAGTAATTAACGTAAGAGGTACTTTTCCCTTATTATATAAATATAAATCAAACGTATCTACAGTTTCTTGAAAACGTCCTCGTTTTGAGTTGGACAATGTAGTGTTTACTTAGTGTTAACCGATGATTTGAATACAGTATTATATATATATATATATATATATATATATATATATATATATATATATATTATGTACATCTAGTATTTTGTAAACTACGTACTCGCGTAAAAATCATAAGGACAATATCTATAAAATGACGAATCGTAATTTCCCTGTAGTTATAATAAATAAGTGACTGTAGATATATTAGGTAAGCCTATACATCTGATATGATGAATACTCATATTAATAATAGGTATTCTATTGCCAAAATTAGTTATATGTCACGTGCGACGGTGATAGTATTGTTTGATTAAATATATTTATAAACGCAATTGACTGCCAATTGTATTAAAATTTTTATAATATTCGATATTCTTAGATAGTTTGATAACTTGTTTAATTAAATTTTTTAAAGGTGCCAAATAATGCCAACTACATTTCGGATGTAATGCCAAATAACTATTATTAATTTTTAAGAGCTATCAACCGTTCGTGTTTTAAGTATGCTTGGTCATTGACATCTAAAATATGCTTACCCTACAAAGCAACGACTGATACTTTTCCGAATACGTTCGCAAACCTTTTCAGGTTAATTTATATATAACATGTTTCATTAATCCTAGAGTACAGGGTAAATTAGTAAACAACTTTCTTCCCCTGATTTTTATTCCCACTTTTTCACAGATTGTAACGTATTGTAATCACTTATCGGCACTTTAACAATTTTAAATATATTATCATTGTTGAGGTTGGTGAAATTAATATGTAACTAAGGATAGTGTAACTGTAATATGTATCTAGATAAAATATATGTTGTAGATTGTATCCTTCTGTTCATAACTGAATCACGATCATAATGTATTAGGTAGGTTGTATTTTCAACATCATTTAAATAACCTTTTATGTAAACGTTGCATGATACGTCACTTCGACCCATCATTTAGGGTAAAGTAGCCTTTCGTCTAAAAATGAAAAAAAAAATATTTCGAGCCGCGTATTTGATATGTCAAAGTAATTCATAATAATGATTAGATTAACCTAGTTTACTCTGAGACTATTGATATTTTAATTAAATCAACAGCGCAGTTAGGAAAACAGGGATGATTATAGCAAAAAAAATAATTAAAACTGTGTTTTCTAATGGTTTTTTGTGTGTTTCGTCTTAATTAAATAATAAGTGTTATTGGATGTATAGCTGTTCGTGCTCATGAAGCATCGGCTAAAGTAGATTAGATATTGTAAATGCGTTAGTCGCATTTGGAATATGGACTCGGATGGTGCTTGTTCAAGCAATCCCCCAACGCTCGCTAAAGGTTGAAAATAAAATATTAGATCTGGTGGTCGTATAGTGGATGAGATTCACAGCCCTTAATATTAATATATGAATCTACATCGTAGATTCTGAGGCCTCTATAAAGATAACTGGCAGCACACTACATACAAATCCTTCTATTCTTGTGAGGTCTTTCATTCTTCGCAACAAAAGCTGCTCCAAACGGCTATTTTGTGTGGAACCCACCAGTTTCATCTTCAATGGAATTTTTGGAAGGAATTGTTTAAATTAATAATAATAATTAAAATTAATTTCATATAAGTTCACGACTATAAAAGAGAGTAGGCATGTGCTATTGCACGCACCGAAACACACACCAATATAGTAATATTGTCAATAATATAATTAGTTAAGTCCACAGGCTTCCCTCACTATTCCGATATTATCCGACTTTTATTGTAGATATTTGCTAGGAAATAAACGGTCTGTTGTTATTTTTATATGACTGCAAATTATATAATAGATAGATTTTCTAAAACACCGTAGGCTAATATTTAGACACAAGTTGTCATAAGTGTACTGAAAAATATGGATGGTAGTTAGTTGGTTAGGAATAAAAGCGATGTACATAACAATGTATCAAGGAGAGCATGGACATAATGTCAGTTGTAAACCGTTAATGTAACACAAAGTCGAACCGCTTCAAGATAAATCTTTGAAAGATTTGAAGGTTCTTATTAATGGTACGCGTTTGTTAATGATATAGCATAGGTCATATATTTGTTAAAACTGGATGAGCTAAGCCAATACAACGATGACTTAAATCCTAATTCTAACGAATAAATTTTTAATAATTTTTAAAACCTTTTAATTTATACTTCAAGTCTAAATATAGCTCACGCGTGCTCTGACTATTTGTGATCTGTAACTTTGGTTGTATTCTTGTTATCATCGTCTATAAGACGGACGTAATCGTATTCTTCCCCGTTACGTTTGACCTGTTCTTTCGTTGTTAGAGGATCGTTATATTTACTTGTATGTCTGTATATGCATGTTTCGGGTGATAAACGGGTAAGATAATGTAGTGTCGTGTATCTGGTTGTAGATAGGTAAATAATAAATTTAACAATAAATAACGCTAGTCACACCGTAAGTAAGTTGATCGTGGTTAAGTATGTAATATTTAAGTGGTGTTTTAGCTTCTCAATGTTTATTAGAGTTAGTGGACGAATGAGTCGGTTCGTAAGCGCGATGTACGACAAATTTGCTGCTTAAATGGTTATCGGTTATAATGGAAATATCCCATTCATATAGTTCAATATTATTTACGTAATACTTTCAAAATTAGATTCTTTAATATTTCTACAACTTTGTGGAAATAAGCCATAATGAAAGGAGAACAAAGAAAGACAATCAAATCAAAAATAATGTACAAGTAGCCTTGAATGTTTAATAAGGTTTTCATTAAATACAATTCCTTTTGTGTTATTATGCGAATGAATTTGATACGTTCTCGTTATATTTTATTTCGTGAAATGCATCGAATTTGTTTGCAACGCGTGATGGGACTATGAGCTCATAGTCAGCTATCACATGGCTGTCAGTAATTTTAAGAATCAAGGTAACCGAGGTGTTGACATGTAAATATAGCTGATCAACATAGAAATTTAAAATAATATTAAATTGACAAGTTATTTTTCTACGTTCCTTTCACTGTACCCTTAGTATAAATTTAGATGCGTAGCGTAGTACATTTTATTTATCCATAAGGATTATATCATACAGCAATAACGTTATGTTCTAAGTGATTTTATTATTTTGACGCCATTCATTATATCCGTATATTTAAATTTTAGTTTTTTGAATGGTTGACGATAATCCGTAACGCTTTATAATTAGGTTGGTCGAGATCTAGAATTTCGTATAGCATTTTCTTCTATGACACATTCGCATATGTTTTATTGCACACTCATTTTATACATTAAATATTCTTTGTAACTATACCTATACTATGCATTTAATATCTACGTAAGTTAGGCGTATTCACGTGTTTAATCAAACGTCTTCCAAACGTGACGTAATGTAAAATTTTATTTATTCCTTTTAGTATCAGAACACTAGCCGGTTGAAAGATTGAAATTAAGTTATCGCTACACCTTTCCGAGAAATAGTATTACCAGTAGATCGAATTGTAAGGCTGGAGCGATGCACCCTGTTATTTATCGAATCCCCTGACAAGCTGTACCTTTTTACATTTTATTTGTAGCTTCTTCCCCTATATTAAGATCAAAATTTTCAATTTCCTCTTTATAGGTTATATTAGAAATAGATTGTAATAATAAATAAGTATAATACCACACAATTTGCGTTGAGCTTCCAACACGATTAGATGTAAATACAGATATATATATTAAATATACCTTTAATATTAATTTTAGTTGTTTTAACGATAAATGTATTGTATACGCTTCGTTGATACAATTTTCGTTATCAAATATTTGTTATCGATCTCTCATTAATATTTGCTTGTATACTGCAGTATGCGCCAAATCTACGCAAACATTATAAATAAGTTATGAGTAAACTGGTAAATATATCAAATATGATACATTTAATAATATGTAAAAAGAATGTCCCATGTTTATATAATTAAAATTCTCAAACAGTTTCTACTGAATTCATATTACAATAGATTTGGTGCGTTCATTGAATAATTATTTAGCTAATTATAATTAACAGCTACTTCATAAAAGAATAATTTCTTTGTGCTATATTTATGCCATACAATATGTATTATTATAATCGTTAGTAATCTAGTTTCTTTGTTTGAGCCGCGTTTGCGGTATGTAGTATAACTTTCAGATTTCTTAATATAAATTGTTAATGTAATGTAAGTTATGTCCTCTACTACTAGGGTTAATGATTTTGTGTTATATTAAAAATTTTATTTTCACATTTCTAGTCACGAGTAACGGCATATTTGTTTGGAAATTTGAGATGAATTAAACCTTAATATACTGTTATAAAGATATTGATTTGAACATAATAGTTTTCCTCTTTTATCTATAATAATCTTTTGAATAAAAATAACTATACAGTGAAAAAAATTCATCACAATTTTCAGACTAATACTGCGACCGTTGAAAATGGCGAACGCAAACGAACACCATTATATTAATATAACAAACTTATTGTTAATAGATAGATACACGAATTCCTAAATTCATTTTAATATAAGATAACAAAATAATAGAAGAAAATTCAATAATCATTAACTTAGTATACCTAGTTATTAATTCGATCGTTCTGTGCAACAGTGACAATTAATTTTTGCCACTCTAGTATAAGGTACGCACTATAATCTGTATAAGTCATAATAGCTCAAAATGTATGGGGCTCTATTTGTAACATACTTAGTTTTTAGATGCTATCGTATAAGGAATGGAGAATAATTATACATAACATAATATTAAGTCCCATTTTGTAATGTTACAATTAAAAGCACTACAACATACTATGAATACACCCATGACTTCTTAATGCTAATATTGAAATGTATTATAATAGTAAACTAAAAATATTAAATGTTATGCGTTAATGATAATAAACGTGTTTCATTTATAATGATATTTTATTATTTTCTTTAAAATACCTCTTCAAATATATAAAAAATAATATACTAAAACTATTGGGATACATTGAAAGAAAAACATTTATTTTCGTACTTTAATCAAAAGACATTAACAGAAATATTAAAAATTCATTTATCCTGCGATATAGAATTATAAAGCAGAATAAATAAATATTCCCTGCAATTTATTCTAAAATAAAAATGCAATATAAAAAGACTTTTCTTAGAAAAATACTAATTTTTATAAAATTTCTAATAATATTATGGTTACAAATGCTTCTTAGCCGAAGCTACTGCTAAATAATGCCCATGGACTCTTGGCGGTGTCAACATTCGGTGCTGGTGCATTATAATAGCCTTTGGCTAAGTCAACCAAAGACAGAGGACAGTTGAAAGTGTCGCAAGACTTCAATAGAGATCCTAGTCGATGTGCTGCGTCATATATAGTATGTTCTAAAGGCTCCGTTGGAAGAACTTTCGTCATTGGCATGCTGAAAATATTATTAAGCATCATATTAATCACTTAAAAATTCAACTAAAAATAACAGTTTTGCTGTGTCACTTAATTCAACTGGTGTCAATTAATTTGAAAGCATTATATAGGCTAATAAATTCCACTTAAGTTTTCGTAAAAATGCCTGACATTTGCAAGTCATATATAGTTAGGGTTAGGTTAACGAAATGAGATCAAAATTTTTAGTTTTGCTTAATAATAGCCTAATCCAATACAATGTCTTAAAATGTCCAAACTCAACAATAGTAAAAATTTCCACTGAAAAATTTCTTTCTTTATTTTAGAATTAGAATTGTTGAGTTCAATTTTGTGCCCGCTATTAAGGTCTGTCAATATAAAATAAAGATTTTTGAACACTTATTTGTGATCCCTGTAAAATAATTTCACCCAACTTACCAATGTTATTCTTATAAAGATAAATAATTAATATGCAATATCTAAGTTTTATGAGTAATTCAGTGTTAACAGATACTATGTATGAGTCTGAATATTTGACTTATTAAATTTAAAATGCATAAAATCGTACACAAGTTATGCATACATGTGTAAATTTTATATTACTCTAAAATTAAATCTATTTATTGTTCTTTAACCTATTGTTTATTTAACGGCTGTTTTATATTTAATTAACAATTATTAAGAGTTCTTACGTAAACAAAGTCCTGAATATTTCCTCGATCATATTTCCGCCGTGGGGCACGATTCGCTGAGTCGTTTCGCAAAGGGTCTTCAATATACATTGTCGGCCACTGTATCCCATGCTATAGAGATAAAACACGATTGAAAAAATATAATTTATAAAACAGTATCAAAATGACACACAAAAACTTACTTATCCAATATAACCTCCAATTTCTCATACAATTCCCTCCTGCTTCGCCTCTGTGCTATACTCTTGTGTTTCTTACTCCGATAAAATAGAGCTGTTTCGGTATTATTCGGCAACTCGTACGCTATGCCCCAATTTAAGCCGAAGGTGAATGTTCCCGGAGCAGACGTTGGCGCTGGCTGACCTATTACTCCAACTGTCATACATCCCGCGCACTATTGAAAACAGAATAAACAACTGTATCAATGAAAATAACTCAGGCAATTATCACTTGGATCAATAACATAATGCAATAGGAATACAATATTCTGGATGCAACAAGTTCTAATCTTGCTTGTGTTGGTAAATATATTGTTCTATATTTTCTTATATAAATTTAGCTCTATACTAACTTAACAGCGATAAAAATACACGAATATTTTTTTCAAACAAAGCGTCATGCATCAAATAAGTTTTTAATTAAATCTTGACATGCCGACAACTTACTGAGAAACTGGAACCTTCTGGGAAAGCGACGTATCGCTTCCTACGGGACAAAATTCTCGTATCACCATTACTCACAGCACAAATTGTTCCAACACAGAGACAAATTACAAACACTACATTTGTCAAGGAATTGTACATTTTATTTTAATTGTTTGAATTCTTAGATACAGCGAGATCGTTCTCTAAAAAAATACTGCCGTAATACTGAGAACGTAACTAACTGTGCTATATTCAGTAACGGTTCAAATAATTTTCATACATTTGAATGCCGTTAATGAAAGAGAAATTGTCGCTAAGCGACATCAATTGAACTCTAAACATGGTACTTTCAGGTCAAATATTTGGGTTAGGCTCTTTTAAAATCGTTTAGCTGTTTAAGCATTTACTATTCGTAAAATGAGAACATTTTCTTTTATATCATATGAAAGAAAAAAAACACATGCCGTGTTTAACATATTAAAAAATATATGTTAGTAAATCACGAATGTTTTTAACTTTGCAACTGTAGATTCAAAGCTAAGCAATTAACGACTACTGACAAAATATACTCAGATTGTTTTCTTATATAAAATTCAAGTATTATTTTGTTCTACTACCATTCATTAGGGTAACAACTGAAATTGGAACCGCAGTTTTAAATCTCAATATGTAATCAAGATACTTCTCTGCAATTTTTATGAATTGTACATTCAAATATAACTGATATATTAGCCAATAATTGTTTTTAGTTAACGATTATTCATACCAAACAGATACGAGAGAATTCCAAGGAAAACATACATATTTTTATATTATTAATGGAAGTATTTATTTAATATTAGAAACTGATTTTCTTTAAAGAAAACTAAAATGTATCTTTAGAACAAAAAAGAATGTATTATCAAAATCGATGATATTTCAAGATAAAATAAAAGAATATTTGTACAACAACATGGTAGATTCCATAAAATAAATATATAAAACAGATTTTACCATATTTTTTTTGAACATTAACATACCTCATATGATACCACAGAAAGCTTCACATACTTTTGGGTGCTGTTTACTTCTACCAACCAGATCGGATTGAATATATGAATCTAGTTAACAACAAAATGGGGCTACAGAAAAGTAAGGTAATAATATATTTATAAATAAATTGAATGAATAACATCAACATTTAAATAAAAAATTAATATTACCTATAAAACTAAATGACCTCATAACTGCCTTTCTTGTGCATTAATGTGAATAAAACGTATTAATATAATTTAAAACGTTAAAATTTAATGCGACTGCTTCAGAAACCTGATAAACATACCTTCAATATAGGTAATTATACATAAATTCATGCTATCCTTATCCCACTTACACAATACACAATCTACCATCTCGACTATTTTTGGTAAGTTTATCGTCCCAAATCTGGGTTACGCACGCTCTTATTAACTTCCTACATATTATCCTGATGAAATGAAATTTGTATAGTGCTGCCGCAGAGTGAACACTTGAATAATTTATGAGTGTGTGTGATGGCTGAGGGCAGAAATGTCATTATATTTTATCCGACTTATACACAGATGTAAAAGAAAAATTGAATATATCTCATCTAGTTGATGTTTACTATACAAAGGGATTATGATTTTCGGAAGATAAAAAGCTTTGCCATCCAAACATATTATCTTAATGTCGAGATTTGACCTGTGCTGGTTTTTTATTGAGACTGAATCAACATGTTCTCCATTTAGGAAATTACCAACTATTACTACATAAGTTTTTCATGTATCAATATTAATTAACATGTATAGAAAAATAGAAACCATACTTGTATCTTTTTATAATTTTATTATAACAAAAGATTCGTCGTATTCTATATGGTATATAGTGTCGTTTATCGCCATATTTGTTCTATTAAAAAGAAATTATTTATTCAAATAAAAATAGTTTCCAATTATCAACAATAAAATAAAACATTCACCCTCTCAAAAGTCATTTTATTTTTATCTTGAAAGTACACGAACTTTGCTTAATTAATGGAATATCATAAAAATACAAATAAGATAAAAAACGCAGACACTGCAATCACGAAGAAATGGAGACAAGCAAATACAAAAATATCGGTATACTTATGAATGAGGAAAAATTCGTCAATCATTAAATGCAATAAAAAACATTATAACCTGTTTTGAACACAAAGTTTTTATGTTACTTTTATTATTTTGTTTAAATGACTCTTGATAATAGTTATTGAAAAACTATTTTATGTTTTCCAGATTTAAATCTGAAATGGTGATATAAATCATTATAAATTTTCAAATTATAAAATTATGCTGAGTGATCTCAATAACTTTCCATTTATTACATAAAAAGATAGACATAATATAAACAGAAGCATCCAAGCATTTGTGTTATTCCTTCATTACTGTTCATTAAAAGTGATACCTTAAATATGTCTATTGTAAAAATATAGAATTAAAACAATATCTTGATGAGATCTGAGACTTTCGCGAGTCATTTAAATGAAACTAATATTTTACGGATATACTACACGACTTTATTTTAGAAACTACATACTCCCGACGTTTCGGTTACTTTACAGCAACCGTGATCACGGACAGACACTCACATCTCGTCCGTAAATATTAGTTTCAAATAATAATAGAAATATAAGTTTGAAATTATATCTTGAATAAAATGCAATCACAATATTTTCAAATTTATTAGTTAAATTATTATAGAAACACAACAAAAATTTATACCTAAAAAAGAAGAAATACACATTATCTTTATAATATATTTTATGAAGAGAAATATCTCGCAAGTATTAAGATCTTACAAAACTGGTGTTCAAGCAGTTTAAAAGATTTATTGGAACCAACGTCAAGCGCCGCAGTTTACTCTGAGTCACATTTTCTTTGTAACAAATTACATATGTGTGGGACATCATAGAAAAACATTGTTTTTTATTAAGCTATAATAAAAATATTTTTTATAACAATAACTTTTACAGATTGATAATAATTGGAACAGAATTTTAACTAACGTGTGGGTTACTAACTAAATATTCATTGCCAATTTTATCGTGATATCTACACTGAGTTTAATATAATCGTATCAATGTGAGATAACTTTCACGGTGGAGGAAGTCAAGTGTGGGGGAAATAATTCGAAAACTATATAATTGCCATCAACAGAAATGAGTTTCGTAGATAAGCCGAGTTCGTCAGATATATTTTACGTAAGATTAATCTCACTTGATTTAATCCAAGCAATTTAGATATAATTTTTACTGGCTTTTCTTTGACAGAAAACAAAAAAATAACTAATATATTTGTTTGTTTAAAGCAAAAATGAAATTAAGAAGGGAGAAAGGACAATCCATGGGTTGTTGACAGAAGTCAGGGTCCAAAATTTCACTGTATCCATCTGTGATCTCATTAGTGAAGTCCTCCTGATGTATAGGTGCTCTGAAAGATGCGAAACAATTAGTATATTACCACAATTTTAAAACAACAAATTATATAATGGCAAAAAAGATCTAATTAAAGAAAAGATGACAGTGTACAAATGAATTTCAACCTTAATGCAATTACAACCTAACCTTTCATTACAACCTAAACTTGTTCAAGCAAAACTTCCATATACACTCACAAACACAATTGTGTACAAAAGTGATCAGGCATACACGTGTCTATATTATATAAATCATTTTGAAGTAGTAAACAAAGTCTTTACAAAACACACCTGATGAGAAGAACTCTAAACATTTCCATATAAATCGTCTTTGGTATAACATTTAATTATTTTCTCGAACTGATTTCAAAACATTATAAAGAATTTTCATTCCAAATGTTTTCTTTAAGACAATAGCTTTATTTTTGTATCAACAATATAGAAACAGCATTTTTCAAACAAATACTCATTAATATTTTTATTCATAAGAGAAGTATCCATTAATTATTCATAGAATTATGTTCTTGCATTCATAAAGTACTTTTATTTAATCCCTAACAGGTCTTGCAATACACGTCGTACGTGTTAAGACGCTACTTAAAAGTATACGATTCGTTACTCTCCCTTCCATTCCAGTTACGAAGTATTCAAGTTGAATATAACTTGTCATAATAACCAGCATTATGGCATTTTATTTTCAAGGTTTGTCCACCAACTTCTCTAATACATAAAAGGAGCTTAAATTTTCAAATAAATAATAAAGCAAATTATATAAAAGATAAGTTTTTTTCATAATTTTTAAATAGTATTTCATTTTCATAAGTGCTTTTATACACTCAAAATCTTATTATTTAAAGGGGATTTCTTGGTGCTGGCAAGATAAATAGCACAGTGGGTGGTTAAAATAATTCAACAGGAATTCTTTTATTACTGTAACGTAAAAATGAAGATATAATAACAGATTTTTCTTAATATCTCTTTAAAAAGTAGTCATTATTTGTGATATCTGTAATAGGGCACTGATAAAGATATTTCAGTGTGAAATTTTAGAAGCGCTTTTAATTTTTTTACGATAACCACTATAAAAACTACAAAGACCTACCAGTTTATGATTTAAATATAAGGCTTTCGTGTCATAACAAGTACCTGATTAAAAATAAATATTCCGTTTATGTTATGCTCCGGTTTTGTGTTAATTTATGATCAAATGCCTAATGTGATATTTTAAAACTATAGTGATAAAAATTACATAAGAAATAAACACATATTCACATAAAAAACTTTTGTATTTAAAATATTAATGGGGTTTTATATACTTTCCGGGATGAAACCAGCATCCCTAAAGTTTCAGTACGTATATTCTAATCGAAGTTTTAGACGATGTCGCTCATTTAATCTCGAATCCCTTGGAACGAAGTAAAAGTGTTGTAAGGCTTAAAACTGTTTGAGTTTTTATAATGTACCTCGAAACCACAAAAACGCGGTTCGTGTCGTACGAAAAAAATATCTTAATATGTATGTAAATCGGTTTTAACCAGTATTTTTTACTTAATACTACCGCATTCGAAAAATGTTCAATTATACTATCATTAAAAGTGTATTGAAATTGTTATTATATATTTCAATGGGATCTTATTATCATAATATATCTGACAGTATAATAAAAATATGATACGTATTTGTAAAACACAGAAAAACCAGTAAAGCAATGAAGGCGATATTAATGACGTCGTCAGATTTGTCACATGCGGTTTGCGGTAGACTTGATTGATAGTACTGTCAACGACTATGGATGTTATGACCTTTGACCGCGAACACATTTGAGTTTACATATGAGTTTATAACTCCTGATAGTACCACTTTCATGGAAAACTCCATTTACTTTCAAGGATCAAAAGAAATTATTATTATTTTTTACCCTCCAACGTTTTTTTATTTTTATAGGACAATAGTTTCTTTATTCATATAGACTGTATCATCATAACCATATACTTGTGACACATTCAAACTAGACTTGTACATATATATTATACGAAAATAAAAACTATAACAGTTGAAATTCTTTATTTTAATCGACATTGAAATGAAAATTATAAATTAATCCGGCAACATATAGATAAATGTCACGTCCACGGATTATAAGGCAATTAACTTGATACGGAGAACATTCGATGTTACAACACACGAAATAATATTACGTTTTGATCCGCTACCTTTTACAGAAAAAAAATACATATATAATTTCAAATAATGTAAATAAATTTTCAACATATTAGTTTAAAAATATGGAGTTAATTATCTTGTAAGACTGAAGCTACTTATGTTATCCTTAAGTACTTCAAACTTTATTGTCACCGTAATTATTCAAGATAAAACGTACGTGTTAAAATCTTTGTATTATAATATGCTAATTACTTTTCTTCGAAAGATGAGAGTATCAAAAGAAGTCATATAAAACCAAGTACTTAAATATGTTGATCAGTTATACCGTAACCATTTTAAGAATGAGTTTTCCTGTATATAATGTAGGGCTAATCTAGGAGAAAGTTACCGACAATTTAATAAACTAGAATAAATTTTGTCGTCACAAGTTTTTTGTTAATTATCATATCATATACTTACGTAAATATCGCTCGTAGCAAGTCGTGAACTAGAGATTTTCCAGGTTCAGCCAAATAGATTTTAGCATCACAAATGCTTTTTAAAACACACGCTTTTCCATTTAAATTATGGCTGAAAATGTTTAATTTATTACAAATTACTTTACTAGTTTATGTTATCGTTAACATTAACATTAAATTAATAACTATAATAATAAATGAACGTTTAATACATAGGAAATTATATTTTATAATTTAAAAGTACTCACAGATTGAAAGCATTCTGTAGTCGCTCCCAAAATTCTCTTTTCTGGCGATGATGAAGCTTCTTTCTCCAATGTTTATTCGAAAATTTTGAATCTGGCAGTGGGAATAAAACATCTATTTCTAAGGCTAAATTCCATCCTGCAGGAGCGTGTGTTAGAAATGCCTTTACAAGTGATATTGTGAGCTGAAAAAAGTTATTTGAGACGATACGAGATTTTCATTTTAAAAGTCAATGTACATAAAACTTTGTAACTAGCACCAAACATATAAGTGTATCGTTAACTGGGTAAAAAATCAGGATTAAAACATAGAATATATTATTAATTACATTGTGTACATATCCAATAAAATCTAAACAATAATTATTCATGAGCTATAACGTTTGTTTAGTGTAACATTATTTTACTGCGCTACTGCTAATTAATCTGATATACAATTACAATACTCATCAAATATGCCAGAAACTCAATATATTATTAATCTATTAAGCTATATTAAATTGAACACTTCGATAGTAACTCATTACTGTGGAGTTATTTAGCTAATTTCAATCGTCGTATAACTTACATCATGTTATATACATATACGTTCACATTTACATATACTACCTAGAGTTTATTAAGAAGATCAATTTATAAAATAACACTATTTAAAACAATATATTTTTCTCGATTTCAGTGAAAACATATCTATTACTCACCACCATATTACTTTTGTCAGGAAAAGTAAGATGTCTTCTTTTTCTCAATAAATTTAAGGATGATTTAACATTTGGACACTGTTCCGTGGAATTAGTATCGTGACACATAATAACCATTAAAATTGAAAGAAGAAAAATGAGGAACACTTTCATTACTATTACAGCACGTCAGGCCGAAGCGGTGATCACTAATGCCTTGGTTTACGGTGGGACTGTTTGCTGTCTAGTTTAGCAAGGAGCTACCTTATTTAGAGATGCTTTAAATTAAAAATGTTCTTTTAATTCGATTAAAATTATAATTTGATTTTTTTGCTATTTACTTTTTAGTATGCTACATGCATCAAGAAAACAAAATTTACCATCGTAAGTCATACTTTTGCAATCGCGACCTGAGAAATATAAGGAAACTATTACCCTTAATAATATTATGCTATTCTATACAATTAGAATTAAAGTCAATACATATAAAGGTTGAAAATCATGTAGCATAAAATTCCCTAACTTCTTATTAATTACACCTTTTACACATATGTTATACGTCAGTCTTGCCATATAAAACTAACAACGGTTGTGGCGTAGAATTGATCACAGAGCAAAAATAAAATGTCTGTGCAGGTTTTCAATAGTTTTGTCAATCTGTTTGAATCAAAAACTTGTCAGTTTTTGATACGCGAGCAAATTGGAGTTTATCAATTGGCCCGACGTTTTTTGTTTACATTCAGGTGAACGCCAGCAGATATCAGATTAACAACAAATTGAATAACTAGCTTTGCTTTACTTTTCTATTCAATATTTGCAATTGAAACTGAAAAACGAATTAACAATGTATATATACGTAGGAGCGATGTGTTTCATGTGTTAATTAAATTTAAAATATTGTAACTTTAGTACTCGTTTTAATTTAAGTTTTATGTAAAATCAAACCTTTTAACTCATTTTTTAGCAATAATATAACTTTTTTATTGTTATTTTTATTCATGGAATTGTTAAGCTATTAATAAAATTTTATTTTACATACATACATATTGTAACATTAGTAAAGAATATAAAATGTGTTCCATTTAAAAATTATCATTGTTGAGATATTTAACAAAATTACCAAAGTATAACATAATTTTTTATTTACATTACAAAAATATATTTAATATTTCTATACAATAATCCTACTTTCGTCATAATTTATGTACGCGAGTACGATTCGTAAATACTCATTCCATAACATATAAATCACGACAAACTAAGTCTACCTGACATTTCCTAGAGGCTGTTCACTGACCCAGGATGTTTGATCAAAAAATTAGAGTGGGTGCCGTCTCTCATTACGTTAGTTTAACACCTTCATCTTCCCGAAATTTCGTCGAGCAATCTAATTTATGCCCTGCCTTCTTGACTTAATGTTTACATTTGCCTATTAACTTTTGTCTGGAATTTCGTCTTTAAATTCTACGAGTCTATTTGGACAGCGCCATTGTAGCTCTGTTGAACTTTGTCCCAATTGTGTTGCGTAATTTTGAGTTTTTCTCTATTTAAATTACGAAGTGAATTAAATTAAATACATTAATTATGATGAATTCGAATATTTAATATTAGTTAACATTTATTATTTTTTTTTAAAGTAAAAGTTTTAAAATAAGGTTGCACATAATTCATCAGAAAACAAATGAATTTTAATTTGAATAAATATTTTTTTCAATTATAAGTTCAATACTTAACCATTATTTTCTTTATTTAAATAGTTTACGTGTGTTTTTAATGCATTTTAATGTAAAATAAAAAAAAAGAAATTTAAAAGGAGTGGTTTAAATTATAATTTCAGCTTATTTTTTATATTTATAAGACCGCAAATTCGATGTGTTATGTTCGTATCCGAACCAATAAGCGAGAAAATGAATGAAACATTAGCCGCAGATGTCATTTAATATGATAAATTAGTACTTTTGGTTTTAACGTTAAACGTTAACTACAAAGTTAACGAAGCATTTGTTTAAAATCACATATTACATAAATACACAAGTTAATTTCGTTAATACTATTTTTTTAATCAAAACGTCGTCGTCAACTTTGTAATTTAAAACCTAAGTATTTGACTATAAAATTACAAATTAAAACTAACACACTATATTATTGTTATATGTATATAAATATTTATAAGGCTAATGAGTTATTTGGTTTTGTGGCATTGCTTGTATAAATTATCACAACTGCCTTTGCTTCTATGAGCCGAATCGTATTGGCTTAATTCCTCGCTACTATATTTACTCCCCTCGGGTAGACTGCAAGTGAAATGGTAAATTATTATCATGTATATCAAAAGTTAATTAAGTTTTTAGTCACTCAAATATAATTAAATGTAGTATATTTTACTTTATCATATCTATTTCAAAATTTACAGTGAATCGTAAGAATGGTTCAGGAAACAAAAATCATCTTTTCAAATTCAGTTAGGAACATTTGTTCTTTTTAGGACATAAATTTTAAGTATACGCCTTGGTCTATCCAAGCGTTTTCTTAAGAGTCCTAAATAAAAACTAATGTAAGTCAATATTACTCACGTAAAAGTCACTCTCAAGATTTCTTCAATAAACGTGCCCTGCTTTCCACTGCTACGTCCAGCTTCGCATAGCAGGCGGAGTATACACTCTCGACCACTCCAACCAAGTCTGTAATAATATGAACTTAATTGGTTGAGAGGTTCAGAAGTTTCCAGACTCTGTTACAAGATATTTTTATAAAGGGTCTTATAAATATAGATTTAAAATATTGTAATATGACTGCTTATTTTGCTTAAATCCTTTAAATCGTAAACAATTCTTAAATAAATAAAGAATATTATATTTAGATTCTGCAATAGAAGTTACTCGAAAAATAATTTATTACATAAGAAATCAAAAATTGCATAAAAATATAATTTGAGACGAAAAACAGTAATAGTTTTTAAGTCATTATAAAAATTCTCGCGATCGTTGATAAAACAGGCAGAAACAGAATTAGGACGGATGAACGGCGTGATAAAAGTGTGATATAGAATAGTTGAGGGAGTTACATGAAGGTTCACATTATTATATAATCCTTTCGTGTTACACTTCGAACTTGACAAATTCACTTTACAAAGTTAAATCCAACTAAGCCCAGCAGCGAAGCGAAACACGTATAAATGTTTTTGAAGAATTTTAGTTTTAGAACTTTTTACCTTATAAAGGCACGTATTTCTACGTTATCTTTTACTGCAAGATGAAAAAGAAATAAAAGTACAAATATCCCTAATACCGTTCTTTTTTTTGCAATATATATGAATGAAAATTACAAAAAAAGAAAGAAGCACATGAAATCTTTAAGAAAACTGTTAATTAATTTAAGAATAATGTCAAACCTCCTCTCATTTTATGTAATAGAATGAAAAAAAGTTTTATTTATAATCTTTTTTTTTAATATCTGTCTATTAAAGGTGCTAAACAGATTTAACACTTAGTAAACATACAATTTTTGGACTTAATACAACTAAGAGAATAAAGTTATGGACGCTCCCTTCCACATAATATGATACTCACGCCTGTAAAAACTTTTCAAGTTGCGTATATAAACTTTTCCTCCCTTCTCTATGAAAGTCGATAGTTGATGTATCAGCGCCTTCGAACGGCTTAATACTTTTTTGCTCCTCATGTAATTTCTGAATGGATAGAGGATTATCTAAACCATCCAAACTTCGTTTAGCGAATGCTGGATTAACTATTAGTCTCCTACAATCAACAAATAAAAAATATATATTATTAAACCATGATATTATTTATTGAAGTAATAAGAAATTGTTTTGAAACTATTACTGTTGAATGTATTTCATTAAATTATTTTCTAATTAAGCCGTAAATTCTAAATAAAATATATATACATCAATAATTCAAAAAGCAATTAAAAATAGACACAAAAACGTAGTAAACGCTGAAATAAAAAAGAAAAAACAAAATGCACCACGCCAATACAAATGCTTTCAAACGAAATTGCTTCATGATTAAAAATGGCTACAGTTAGTCAGCTGACAATGTGCGGATTAACTAATAAATCACTTACAACATTGCTACGGGAAACTAAATTGAACTTAATCGATACTACATCGTATACACTCAATTTTCTAAGACAAAATGAATAGCAGTTATTTACAGAATACTTACTTTCTGTACGGCTTTTTTGTTATAACTTTTCCTGTCTCATCCAGATAATAAATTAGCTTTGAAACGCCGTCTCTGTTCTGTGCTGTATGTAATTTCTCGTATTTTTTGAAGATATTAAATAATTTTGGATCCGTCGGTAATTCCCAGGCTAGAGCGGCTGTATTACCAAACCACACGACATCACCGACTTGCAAATATCCATGATTCTGAGCGCAAAAAACTAAAAAAAATATCAATTGACAAATGTTGCTTTGTTAATTTTTAACTGCAATCTCAATTTTTCAATGGACCAACCTAACTGGAACGAACTGCCATCAGGAAATATGAGATATCGCTTTCTTCTTGAAAGGATCTTTGAGTGGCTTTGATCTTCGCTTGTATACGGTATATCGGTAAAATTCTCTCCACATGACGACAAAACTACTTCTAACAATAGAAGCAGTAGAATTTTGAAGCATTTATTTTCCATTATACACAAACTTAATATGTTACGGGAGAAAATTTATAACCTGAAATGTTTCATTTAGCTTAAACACATTTGATATATTTAAACAATAAAACAATGATAAGAATGAATATAACATAAACTAAACGAATAACTAATTCTTTTACAAACACATATTTCGGCTTTAAAGTGAACTCAATATTGACTTATGCTTGTAAAACTACAAAGATTATTATTAGCTTGGTTAGAACATTCAACAACAAAAAACTACAACTTTATAAAACTACAACTTTAGTTTTAATTCATAATTTCAACACGAATAGTTCAATCATTGAATATTTTAACCTTCTCAAGCATTCAATTCCTTATTTCCTACACTTAGTTACAAGTTAAAATTCACCAATATCCATTACTTCATTACACGATGCTGTATTCTTCTTATGCTTGGAAAACGGAAAAAACAAATTCCTTTTTTCAGCTGAGTAAGAATTAAATTACGTTTGAATAACTCGCTGACACTTCAGCATTAAATTCTATTCACATAATAAAAAGGATAATTTAACTTCAATGAAACTTTTCTTAGAGGTTAAAGTTCATTTGCGTTTGTACAAAATAATATTAGACATTTATTAAATAATATTTTTTGACTCAGGCTTAGCTACTTAAACCTACTTAATTTAATTAAAAAATCTTTCTTACCTGGTTGTCTTAATTAAATCTACGTCTAAGCCCCCAGTATTACATTCAAAATAAATTGAAACGAAAAGTTTTAAATTCATGGAGTCCTCGCTTAAAAATTCCAAGTATAACTTTAGGAATGTACAAGAGAAATGGTATGTTATGTTGACCGCTTTGTTTTGAAGCTAATAGATGGTTGAAATAAAGTGATCTGTTTTTCTTATTTGCATGTCTCTGTTTCAATTTGTAGGATGGTTCAAATGGGAAGCAATTTATTCACACTTTACACACAATTAAGGCTTGTGAACAGTCAAAGAGAAAAGTGTTCTAAGTAAAAAAAAACTCGTTTGAAAGTATAAGAACTCTTGAAATAAAATTATTTATTTATTTTTTACCTCTATTCATTTGTTCACATTCATATATGTACTATATTAAATTTAATAAGGTTATATACTTCATATCTAACTGGTAAAATATTATTAATTTTAATGACTATAAAGTCAAAAGAAATAATTCGTTCCGAAAATTTTTATTCATGTTTTATATTTACAATTTAATATATTTATCCTCAAATAAGATCTTAAAATTTAATATTTCGTAACTCTTATATGCTCAAATAAAATTTTATCATAAAAATCGAAATAAAAAGATAATCCTTATTTTGTTTAATTGTTTTATTTATATCACTTTTCGACACAAGTATACATAAAAAAAATCTTCTTGAACTGTAACGACTAACTGTAACCATCACTATAACAGGTAGGGTATAATGAGCGACAGTCGTCTTGAGATGAATGGGCCTTGTCGTAGTGTCCGCCTTCTGAATTTCCCTTTGGTAACCTAAACAAATAAACAATAATTATCATAACTTAATCTTAACCAAATAAAACTTACTCATTAACTCACATCTTCATCGATTCTCATCAGTTATTATTTGTATAGTAAAAAAAAATGCATTTAATTCTTCGTAGTATAATATGAAACTTGAATGCCTTTGTTCTTTCACTCGCATTGTGTTATTAAATTCAAAGTACATACGCAAACTTAAGATAGTTTTCAAGTATTTCAAAACAAATAAACAACTCCATAACATTTAATTTTGAACCAAAACCCTCTAAACTAGGAGCATCCGAGATATTCATACTTACGTAAAGACAACGCGTAGCATCTCCTGCAGGAATGTACCCTGTTTCGAAATCTTTGCCGACTCGCATAGTTTGTAAAGAACGCACTGAGGACCGTCGCCTCCCAGACTGGAACAGGTGTTACTTGACATCAGGTATTTCGACATAGCGATCTAGCGCTACGTAAAAATAAAATTTCAAAACTTCAAGAGGTTTTCTCTTTAAGCCCGTAAGAAATTCTTGGCTCATTTAACAAATGATTTTTTGTAGACATCGGCATTTTAAGTAAATAGAGCAGCCCTTTGAAAATAGAATTTTATTGAAACCGAATTTAGATAATGATAAAAATTTATAATTTTAAAATTTTTGAAGGTATTTTAAATCGTATTCAACATTACAATGTGATTTTAATAATAATATTAATATATGTACACATAGCTTTAAACTCTTATAAATACGTAAACACTTATCCAGTTTCAAATAATCCCGTTTTAAGATTTCAAAATAGTAAGGTAAGGACAATAATGGTATTTAAAGATATTAGTTTCATGTCTAGACCAAGATAAGAAGAGTCTATGCTACAATGATATTTAATCGGAGATGCAAGCCACCAAGTCGTTTTTTTTTTCACTTTTACAGCCAAAAAGAAAAATTAAGATATAGCACAATAGCTCAATAGAAAAATAGCATTATGGCAGTAAACTTTGGGTAATTCGAAACTGGCTTATGTCAAAGATATGACGAAATTTATGTAAACTTTATTTGAAGCATTCAGGTCAACATTGATCGAAATGCTACAAACGTAATTAAATAACTTCCAAATGAATCACCATTACATAACATTCATTTAAAACATTTATATTAACTCAATAAATGCAATATATGTCATTGTTTACATTTTCAACATTAAAATTTATGTACTTTGATTTCAATACAAATAATACACAAAAAATACATCACTTAATAAGGATACAAAAATATTTTTTTCTAAATAGATATCTATTTATTCTATATTATTGTAATTTCAAAATTGATGCAACAAACATACAGCTGCGAAGCCTTAAAGCTCATAATGTATATTACATTTACATATTGCATTAACCAACAGTCTGGCTTCATGCATATCGATACAAGCCTTCATTTTCAAATATATTTGTCATGCGAGTATCAAAAACACATATTATGACAAATACATATATTGCCTAGTAACTTGATTGTTTTAGCACCTACAACTATGTATAATAAGGAAAAGTCACAATAATATAAAAAACATTAATTATCACGTTTTAATAACGACTATATTAAATGATGACTATCTTGTTAATCGAAGCATTTCAATTAAACAGACGTTTCAATTAATTCATAACATTTCATTTTATTAGAAATTCATAAAACATTTACAGCTAGCTGTCTGTTAATGAATATCTACCTCGGCCTTAATAAAAACAATCCCAACGAAATTAATAACCCAATATAAACAAAATTATTAAATTAATAATGCACGATGAAACGGTTCAAGAATGATATTAACTAATTAATTTTGTATAATACTGTTTTGATTTTAGATTAATAAGAAAATTTCTGAAATTTGATTCTCGAATACGTTAACAATCAAGCTTCAGTTCGAAAGAAAATTCAATTAGAATTATAATGAAGCAATTGTTGACTCCGTTAAGTTCCTTTTAATTAGAATGTTCATCAATTTGAATAACTTTATTTCAGAATAGAAATTGTATTTGGTTTAGAAATTTCTGAAATATGTCTTTCACTTTGGGTGATGTGTTTGGAATCAAAACGAAGTATATTAATTAATTTCCCTTTCGTTATCTGCTTATGTTTATATTAAATGTTATTGAATAATTTAGTGAAATTAATGTGTCATGTAAAATTCGGAATGTATACACCAGTCTCCTAGAAGAAAGGAAGGTTTTTCCTAAAGAATATGACTTTGATAACACTGATCATAGAAAGACGATAATAATATTATTTTGTAAGAATTTTGTTATACTTTTTCTACTGTTACAATTGTTTTATATTTTTACTATTGTTACTTTATCGTTTATATCAGTGGATTACTCAAACTTCATTTAAATTTCAAATTATACTAGTATATTTCAAAAATTACATGAGTCGAGAGGTTCCTAAATTTATCATATTCATTTTTCAATTAACGTACTAGTAAAAATATTTTAATTTTATATATAATATTAACTTAAACATAAAAAAATCTCATAAAGATCAAAAATAACTATAGTTTTTATAACGACCACATCTTGACATTTAATTAATTCTGCAAAATGAATTTTACTCGTAATATTTAAAATTTTATTTTAATTTATTTGAGTTTAAAATTGAAACTCCTGTTCCTAAGATTTTCTTTTAGTCATATCATTCAAATTATAACTGAAGGTTTAAAAATAAATATCTTTAAATGATTTTCTTTGTAAGTTTAAAATTTTAATATTACAGTTGTCTTTGCTTTAATATAATATTTCTGTGTTTTTTAAAACATTTCATTCAGCTTATTAGTTTTATAATACAATGAGTTTAATAAATCAGTAACAGTGAGAAGAGAGAAGTACCTATATATATATATATATATATATATATATATATATATATATATATATATATATATATAAGAAAGTTGTGTTACTTACAATATTTTGTAACTCAAGAGCGGCTGAATTATTTTGGCTCAAAATTGGTTGTTAAATAGCTTAGAATCAATACGGACATAAGATATAAAGTTCAGTTCGATCGAAAAAGAAATAAAATACTTGTGAAATTCTAATATCTAGTTATTTACAGCCTCTAGGAGGGAATAGAGTTCACCCGGTCAGCTCTACAATATATTACTAATTCAGAAATTAACGGTGACGAAGTCGCGGGCAGAAACTAGTAATTACAACGAAGAAGTTAAAAAGCAAAATTAAAACGTAAAAAAGGCTTATACTTACGCTGTTATAAGAGGTGCTAATTTCTTATAGAGATCAATTCTACTATTTCTGTGAAATTCAATACTGTCTTCATCAAAGTGATGTTTTTTTAAATAATCTCTCTCAGCCTGTTTCTCATGCATTTTGATTCTATCTAACTTTCCTTTGAGTTTCTTTTTGAAGCTCATCTTCTCATCTATGCTTCGTTTCGCAAAAGCTGGATTAACTATAGGACGTCTGTACAATAATTAATATAGGTTTTGAGACACATTATTAATTTAAAATTTATTATCGTCATACGCAATTCAAATAATTTACCTCGTATAGGGAACTTTGGCTACTATCTTTCCTTTATCATCCACATAGTACATAGTTCTGTCATCGGATCTCCGGTTAGAATATTTCTCGTGATCTTTCAGCATAAGAAGTAGTTTTGGATCGGTTGGCAAATTCCATGCCAAAGCAGCAGTATTACCATATAGAAAAATATCCCCAATAGTTATAAGTGCTGATGTTTGAACACAGAAAACTGCAATATTAAAATATTATCAAGAAAATTTTCTCATAATACCAAAGATATAAATTGTTTTGATAGATTTTTTTTGTTATGTATTTTGAGCAAACGTCGTGAGCCTCAATCTTTCATACCTGACGACTCTGGTTTCAAAAGCCTTATTTTAAGCTTTTACCATATTTTTACAATAAAATTTGCAACCTCTCTACTAGCAATAATTCTTATAGGAAAATAAAAAGATTCAACGATAAAATAAACAATAAACAATAAAAATAAACAAATCAAAAACTGGTATCTAGAAATTAGTCTTTACATTATTATAAGCCATTATTAATTTGTACTATGTTATATTGTAAATACAATATACACATGTTTTATTTTGTTATTACTAAATAATCTTTATAAATAAATGAACAGAGATTAATTAACATTCCAAATATATCACTAACTTCCCCGAAGAGCTGACGACAATTATAACATACATCCACTGTTATAATTACAAGACGACGATTCATAATTTAGATTGTACTTAAGCTACTCAAAATTGTATTAACAGAAATGTTTTGTTATCACTGATTTCATTGTTACACATAGCTATCGGGCTCAAAGAGGGTTGATATTTGGGGTATTTCCATTGTATGTTTCATATATGTATGTACATGCGGCTTTGTAGTTTTATCCATTTTAGTTTAACTACAGATTGTTTTTATCTCTCAGATGTATTACGATATTTTTTTCGACACGAGTGTGACATTTTTTATAACTGGTTAGCTTTTTTGGCTTTGATCGAATCGCTGGGAAAGTTGACGGTCCTATTCGGGTCCAACCATTCCAATTTTACTCCTGAAGGGCCCCCCATGCACTTGCATCAGAAGAATGCCTCTAAGAAGCTTAATCTTTTCTTAGAACGTTCTTTATCGGAGTTAAAAAACTTAGTATGTGCAAACATTCCACCCTCTGATGGCAAGCGAACAGAAGTCAAACTGGTGCGACGTGTAGAAACGAGGACCTTGTCATTCCCTTCGAAGACAACGTCAGTTTAATATTTGTGGCAAATGTATGTATGTCGCTATTTTATTGTTAGAATCTAAAAGCAAGTCTTTTGAAAGTCCTTATTTTGGAACAAGGAGGAGGAGCAGGTTTACAGAACCTCTTGATTTGAAGCAGGTTTGAACCATTAACAGAACTGAGTCCCCAATATAAACAAGTGCGCTGAGTAGCTATGAGCAGTTGATTAAGGGTTGAATGTTGATAATGTCAAAATGCAGGCTGCTGTACAACATGACATGAATAATGCAAGTCATTGGTAGTAAAGTGTGACTTTATTTATAACGGACCTCTTTCTCTCATTGCAGAGAACGGGGTGTTGGCGGCTTAAAACGTAGGCGGTTCTATTTCAAGCTGCGTGTATGTTAATATTGAGATATGTGGGCGAGAGGTATGAAAATTTCAGAATAAATCTCGATGTTTGACTATTTTTCCTAGAAATGAAGCGATGTTACAGTTTCACGTCAACTTCTGATTAAAAGAAGTATAGTTCTCTTTTAAAAATATCTCTCCTTAATCTCCGAAATCATTTTCCCGAGGCTTAAACCAGTTTAGAAGCTGGGAATGAAGTAATGTCATATTATATCTTTAATTTGATAATGAAAAATTGCTTGATTGGTTAAAATGCAGAATATAACACTACAAAATAATGCTGACTATACTTTAATTGCAGTAATTACAAAATAAAAGTGGGATAATAATGAATGAATCAAAGCAAGCAAAAGCAATTTCTTTAGTAATTACTTAAAACACTCGAAACTTCGGGCTAGAATATCATTAACAAATTAGCTATTAATTTATTAAAATAAAGAAACTTCTTCAGAGGTACTTAATAAAGTTATTTGAAGAAAATGTTCTCGTTTTCTTAACTCATAAACAAACTCGATTGTAGTTCACCAGTTACTTAGTACCTACCTAATTGAAGAGAGCTGCCAGTTGGAAACACTAAGTATCTTTTACTTCTAGACAAAATTCGCGATCTGCTCTCATTCCTTCCCAACACCTCGTCCTCATAAGTATTTGTAGCAGCTCGAACAGATCCACACAATAAAAAACCAAATATCCACACACAGCTCCCGAAGAACATCTTAAATTACTCATATATAAATACAAAGCATAACAAAATTTCAAAATAATACTTGTCTCTTGTAAAACATAAAATGAACTATCCAGTTTCATGCACGAAGTAGTTGACGCAAATATGTATAAACGTAGGAGCAATTAACAAGTTCTGTGTCAATGGCTAACAGTTATACTGTGTCAGAAATGGATTTCGAAAAAACAAAAAAGGCAATCAAAATTCTGCGTCACAATTTTGAAACGTGACATTTGAATAATTCATGTTAGCGAGGGTTGTTGCTAAGAGATCGGCTGCTACTTAACAGAAAGAGAAAGATCACACTTCTTTATTATGCACCTTTTAATAGACATATGATAATATAATGAGGTATATTGGATTTCGTTACATTAATTAATCTTTAAATTAATTACCATCATATTAAAGTAACAATTCGTATTAAAACTACGTGTAACTTATATTCGTTAAGCCTTGTTTTATACATGTATACATATATGTGTATATAGGAAACATGTAAATAGGAAACAAAAGTAATGTAAATTATTAAATAAAGATTTTCACAATAAAATAATCGTGTGACAAAAAGAAACCTTTAAAGAAGATTTACATTTTAAAACATAATACACAGACTTGATTATTCATACAGAATATTAAGGTTGATTTTTTAAATCTTGCAATACAAATACATTCCGATTAACTTATCAAAATTGCTGTTTTCTTTGTTAATTTTTCGTTACGAGCTTAACAGTTCGGGTAAAGCTTATGACAAGGCTCGGAGGCTGTGTGCGCTATGTCGTACTCCTCATCAATATCACCGGATGTCGTGCCTTTTGGTATTCTGCCAAAAACATATAAAAATTTAAGACACGTAAACCAAATTAAAACTTTCTTAATTTGGAAAAGTATAAAAGTCATAAATCTAGTCAAAGTAAATACGACCAAACGTGATTAAATTGTAATCAAAATTTTAATTAATTAATTGCATTTTTTTATATTAAATGTTATGTTCATTTAAAAATGGGGTTTTAGCTAACTAGCTAAAAGTTGTTGATTTATTAATAAAAATAAAATTAATTAGAACCGGGATTATTTTATAAAATTGTATCAACATCAAATTAGATTGTGACTGCGTCTTTTATTCCAAGTGAGCACTCTATAGAGATAAGTTATAACTTTAAATCGCTAATGATGTTAGTGAATTGCAATTGACGATAGTCACAAAGAATCAGCCACAAAAACAAACCAGACGGTCCTTAGAGACATTATCATTTGGAAAGTTTCTTTTGTTATTTTAATAAAATTCAAAATTTCTTAAAACCCTCAGATATTTCATTGAAATAAAAATCAAACATATTTCGGTATTATTTTCTTAGATTACGTGTTTTGTTTATATGTATTGAAAACTGTTGCGACTTACGTGAATACGGCTCTCATAATTTCATGTAAGAATGCACCTTGGCTATCATTCTGTGACTGTCCTATCACACATAATACTTTCAAAACGCAATTTCTTCCATCAGAACCGAGTCTGGAAAAATTATTTATTTATACTTTTGTGATTTTTTAAAATGTTAAAGATTATTAATGATTTTAGAGTATATTAATAAAACGATAAAAACCCTTGCAAAAGTGTCTCAATCCGTTGATAAAGCGACGCTCTACTGATTCTATGAAAGTCGATGTTTCCCAAATGTTCCTTCAGAAACGTTCTTGTGTGTTTTGAGGCGTGCATCTGTTTCTTTCGTATTTTATATTCGGAGGATACCTTTTCGTATTCGTCCACGCTACGCTTCGCAAATGCTGGGTTTACAATAAACTTTCTGCAATGGATGGATTTATCTTTAAATCTGTTATAGATTTCAAGTGCGATGAAATTTGTACGTATTTCTAAGGTAATGCATACATCAGTTTTAATGCAAAAAATCCTCTTTACATAAATGGATTAAACATTATATGTAATTGTTTGTAAGTATGTTAAAGGAAGTCCTTTTGTTAAACTTCTTCATTCCTATTATTTTATTAAAAATTGAGTTCTTCGGTATCTTTACTTGTAATAGAATTTTTTTATTCATATATTACATATATGAAAAAATATACCGTATAGAACTTTCATGATAATAAATTTCACAATAAGTTTTACAATAAATTCTTACTTCACATATGGTTTCTTGTATATTATTTTTCCATCATAATCCGTAAAATATATGGTGTTTGTATCCATCCGTCTGTGAAGAGGGTCGGCTTTATGATTAAAAGGGGAATAAGGATCTTGTGGCAGTTCGTATGCTAAGGCAGCCGTGTTGCCCCAGAGAAATATGTCACCTATTGAAGTCAGCACCGGGTATGTAACGCAAAATACTGAAACAAGTCATCCATAAATATATAAATTAAACCTCGTGGAAAAAATTAAAAATTAATACAAAAAACATACCTAATTGAAGGGAACTGCCTTCTGGGAATATAAGAAATCTTTTTCGTCTTGATAATATTGTATTATTTTCTCTGCTTTCTATATTCAAACACAAAGAATATTGGAGTAACGTCAACACAGATAGAGAATATAAACATAGTTTTGTTAATATTATTGAATTCATAATGTGATCGAATTGTCAATGAATATACATAGATTTAGAAAGAATTTCGATTTGTCTAATACCAGGCGCTTGACTGATCGTGAGTGGATAACTCTTAAAACGTTAATCACGATCTCCAAACAGATAATCCGTTATTATTATACACATAGGATGATTAAATTTTTGAATTTATTTTTAATAGCATAAATAAGGTTTCATATAGGTATAATCTTTAGTACAAAATTTCATGAATCGATTCATTTTTGTTTAACATTATTTTAGTTTAAAATTTTTGTCATTATATTTATATTCAATTACAATTTTAATAGTTTCCGATATTAACAGACTGTTTAAAGGAGATGATCTTGATTACGAAGAGGTCACATAAAAAAACACTATCATTATTTACATGAACGACAACTTGACCCTAGAAAATTTCTCCTTTTAATCTTTTATTCGAACCCATTCATACGTTTAAATTAAGTAATATATATTCATATATAGCTTACATTTGTATTAATCGTGTAAGAAAGACTTAATCAACGCTTACATTGTAACAAAATACACGAAATAATCTTCACGGATAAATCTTTCATAAAAAATATTAATCTTGAAAAGTTATATTTCTTTTGAAATCAAAAGGAACTTATCCTGTTGCAAAATCTTATCACACTCTACTGAGAAACAGCATAGAATGCAACCGAAACAAATTTAGGGACATAAACTTCACTAAGTTTAAGCGAACGTGATAATGGTTCTACGGAAAGCATTACTTATTTCATCCTGAAGATATTACAGCATTATGTAACTGAGTGTAATGTTCTGGCACATCAGATAAGCCGCTATTCTTAGTATTACGCAAATTGCTTTTGTGTTTACAAACAAATATGCTTTGTTTTATTATTTTTTACTTTAACTTGGATTACCAGCGTAAACTAGTGTAAACTTGAAAATATTCCTTTATTTACTGGAACAATTCAAAATAATTGTGATATACTATCACTGTACCAGAACTGCTTCAATATCGTTTTATTCTAAACCAACCACTCTATTTGATATAATTTCAACTAGCTTATAGATTTGTTCGATATTCCACAGAATAAACCCGTCTTTCCTTAACGATAGGTATCCTACGTCCTTTCCTAAACTGTTGGAAATAGATAAGGTAAATTTCATAGAGATCCTTTCAGTCGTTTGGCCGTATAGGAATAATATCCATATAAATGAATTCGCTCTCTCAGTCTAGTAATACAATAAGTGTGAAAGTTTATTTTAATATATTCTTCGATTTCGACTAATCACGAAAAACTAATAAGCTGATTTTGATCAAATTATACATATAGGTATAGGAAAAAAGATAAGAAGAAATTGTGGTCACTGCTATTGATGCATAAGGATTTTAACAAACTTTATTTTCAAAAAAGTTTTTTTCAAACAACCTGTATATATTTCTATTATATATTTTATTAATAAAAAGTTCAACAGGTTAGCAACATCGGCTGCACTCGACAATTTTAAAGCAAATAGATACTACTATGTTAATAAGTGCAAGGTACTTTTCAGAACTATAATACACAGTAAGAACATTTATTATATAATTTACAATCACGACACTTCATATGTAATTCTGTTATTTCTTTTATTAATATCAATTGTATCTTTTTAGTCGTAATATGAAGGTGAAATATTAATTTAATTTTACATATATGTGTATTAAATTTCACCCCGTTATGGTTTTTCTTTCTCTGATGACAGTTTCAAAAACAAATCCCCCAGGTTTAAGGGTCACAGGTACCCATAATTATAGCCAAAAGCGTCAGCAGTAATTATTCAACACCTCATGTGAATCGCCTTTATACTTGTCCCTTTTGGACGCCCTTACACAGATTTAGAAAACCACGTTTAAATTTTAAATATGGGTCACCTTTATATTAAATTGCATATATCATTTTATTATTAAGCATTAAAAGAAGTAATTGATTTATATTATAGTTATTTCTTTTCTGTTAGTTGGTATTTGTAATGAGGATAAACTTTTATTCTTACTTAATAAAATGTAAGGTGAACAACTACATTTTAAAAAGATTGATAATTAAAGATAACCTGTGCATTTTTTTAACAAAAGTATACTACTTATAACATTTTTAATGTAGTTTCTATAAGTTGCTTTCAGATAATATTTTCTATGACTCGCAGATTCAGATATTTGAAATAGCTTTCAGTTGACGCATTGGAAGGTATTTCTTTTATCCGCAATGCCGGCCACTCCGATGGCGTTTGTGTAAAAATCAAGATTTCATTCAATTACAATGTGCATTTTTAAATAAAAGATGGATTGAGTTACTGCTTCCATATATTAGAAACGATTAACAAGTCTAGTCTTATCTTTTTTTATATAATCTACAAATGCATTATTTTTTAATATAAACATTCTGAATTTCAATCTACTGACATTTAAAAATTTATAGATTTAATAGCATAAGCGTTCAAGAATACTTTTTATATAAATCCCCCCATTATTTTACATTGTCTTACTTCCATTAAAGAAAAGAGTTATAAAATTATTTGACAACTATGCATGTAGGTCATTCGAGAATTACAATGAACAAGAAGACCATAACTTTGTAGTATTCCCCCTTGCCTTTTATTTAATATTGATGATTTAAAGAAAAAAATAATTGCGTATACAAACAGTGAAGTTGGTTTGTCATCAGTTGAATTGGATGAACCACTTCACTAGTTACAAGAAATTAACAAACGAATCCAAACCATCGTAGTTAAAAAAGGAGCAAGTCAGAATATTATTCTTCCGACAATTCTTTTAAATATTATTTTTATATTTGTACTTCGGATAACACAGTTATTGAATAACAATGTTTATCTACTTTTTTTTTGTGTTACGTTCTCATAGATTTTTCTTACTTATTTATTTATAAAATTACTTTTGTTCTATACAAAAGAAAAATCTCATTTACTTTGCCTTTACCAGACACCACCCAAAAATAAATTTCAATTGTGTTCACCAAATAAGAATAGATTTAAGATACTCAAGAATTGATTTAAATCTCTCCATCACATATTTAAATTCATGTACAATTGAATAACTAACATAGTGAACAGATACATCAGTTTTCAATTTTGGATGATTTCGTTTTTCTGAATCCAATCGTTTATATTGAACAAACGAGAAACTGCACGAGCTATGACTGTCAACGACCCGTCTACTCGTGTCCATTACCAATTCTCTGTATTTGAACGTATAACTTCGAAAAATATACGAGGAACAATTTAAGACTATACATTTGTTATCCCTGGGAATATAATATGAAATATTTGTGAAATAACAAATGAATTTACAGAATATTTATATATATAAAGCACTATCAATTCGCTTTTTATAGGATATTTATGTTATCTCCTATTATTTAAAATTCTTGTTACAATGCAATGAAATGAATAGAATGAATATTGACTACTACATATATCTTGCCTTTGTAATATCGAATGAGGAATCCATATAAACAAAAATCTAGAAATGTTTATACTAGCATTTGTTTATATCATATACAATTACAGTATAGCTATTACAGTATCGATTTCCAAAGCCGTATACTAGCCATTACTGGAAATCCTCATATCCATTTTGGGCTTAGAACGCTCGAAATTAAAAGCCGATAAGCCGATGTATGTATATAGATATATTGTATTGAATAAATCAAAATTAAATGTAAATTTTAGCTGGTTAAATTGTATATATGTAGCATCATAAATTTTTAACGATAATTTAAATAGTAAAATAATCTACAACGCCAAAATATATATTATTGAGTAAGTCATCTTAATAATTATTTTAATTCTATTTCCTCGGGATTCTTTTGATTAGACCAGCATAGATTTAATGCTTTATGTATGCAGTTATTGTATCTTTATCTTGTTTAAGCTTAATTATAGTTTCTTGTAACAAGTAAATAAAGATATAGAACTAGCACGAGCTAATAAGAATATATCGTTTGTGGTGACAAACGAGACTTAACTGTTACCACGTTATAATAAGAAGCCAAATATCAAATTTTGTGTCAAATTTACCGTAATTTATTTAGTGCATATAGTTAACAACAATGACATCCGATATTACTCGTATGATTTAGATTTAAAAATTGAATTGTATGATTTTGTATGTTAATTTAAAACAACATAAATAAATCAAAGAGAAATATAATCAATATTATAAAGAGGAATAATATTTTTATAAATTACGTTTGATTAAGAGTAGCGTAGTTTAGTTGATAGATATTCTTGAGATTTTGTATTTCATATGCATATTTAACTGTCTTTGCTAAAATTTTTACTGTTAAATAAATACGTACATACAGACTCAAAATTTTACATTCGGCTCACTGTGTGCCATACTAACACAGTTGTTTATTGTCGACATTCGATCATGAACCGTTTCAATTTCTGCTTGGAGTGAAAATATTTCTACTTTTACTAGTTTTTTACAGCACCAACTCCAAAACTTCCTACAGTTTTTAAAAATAACAAGGACTTACATTTATTGAAAGTAGGAAATAAAAATGTATAGACAAATCCAAATTGTGATATTAATATATTCATTCTTTGTTGTAACTATCATAATTGACAGTGGTGACGCAAATGATGCTCAAATCCATCGTCATAAAAGATATCTAGGATTCAGCAACATTTCACACTTCTTTGTAAGTATATTTATTTAATTAATTTAATATGTACTAAACATTGTAATTTCTATTACATACATACTTCATATAAACTTTTTTATAAATAATTCCCTTGAATCTTCCAGTACCCGTATATAACGAATAATTTAACTAAGACATTCATTATTAATTTTTTTATATTATGAAGATCTATGACTTCAATTATTGTTTTCTTGAATCCTTTGTATTTTCAAAAGAATAGTATTAAAGTTTATTAAGAACATAACATTACTTTCTAGGATATAGTATATAACATATGATTATATAAATATCTTTTATTTTATTCATACTTTAATACATGACATATGATTAACTCTGTCCGAATTTTCTGTTAAATTGAAATACCAGATGGTTTACAAACCAAATCATCTTTATTATGAAGCAGTAAGCCCAAAATTGATCACTCAAATTATTTTTACTACCACAAGTTCTTACATGTACATACATATGTCGGTAACATATACTTACATCTATAATATATTAAAAATGAATGTCACAAAAATGTAAAAGTCCATTTGATATATTTAGATGATTTGATTGAAATTCAATAGAAGAAAAATAATGTTACAGGTCCGTCTAAATTTCAAAGCTAACATGGTCCCGTGGAACCAGATATTTGCACAAGCTATTGGATATCGCATGAATTGGGACGACCCACCCGACTCGTTCCATCCTTATCATCATCTCAACAGGAGAGATGTGTACCACAATTTAGAAATCTTATTAGACAGGTATCCTAATTAAACAAAACATCTACATTTAAAAATAATAAAATAAATCAACACAACTTTAAAGAAGTATAATTTATGATGAATCAATAATTTGATTGAAAGCCTGTATTCTTTTAAAGGCTCTTTGAAGTCAAAAACATTTTTAAAACATAAAAAATGATCTATCGCAAATTGAACCTGAATTAGCTTATTATTAATAATCAATGTATCGTGAACCAACTCGTTAAATGTGGTCAACACATCAATTCAATCAATAAACTACATTGATTCCCATGAATAATCGTTTATGATATGTTGCCTCAACTATTATTATGTAGCTTGAATATTTCAGTTTCAATCGCAATAGTCAATTTAATTGAAAGATGTTATTAGTTAGCTTAATAAGTATAAATAACATATTTTTTGTATTTTATACTATAGTAGAATAAGAAACAGAGCAAGTTTATATTAAATTTTAACGCACAATATATGTACATGTATTTACTATGTACTTATAACAAAATTAGATTAATCAATAATTGTATAACAGAAAGTAAAGTGATCTTTTATTACAAATAATCAATCGGACGCTGAGAGTCTCTTAACTTAAAATTTGATAAGATTGAAAAAAATATATATTTCTAAATTTCAGAAATGGTTTAAACGGTTTTCACTGTGTACGACGGGCGATTTGTGAAGTTAATTCTGTAACTGACGCGAGGGGCATATATTTGAAAATTCTTAAAATGATTTTCAGGTGAGATTTATCTATGTTCACGAAAATATTGTTATCTTTGATTGAAATCTAAATTCATTGTTACGTTTCAGGAAATCACGAACTTCGAAAACGAACAAATGGCACAATTATACCGACGAGGATTGTCAACTTTCTATCAACTCGTGTCCATTCTCAGTCATGGAAATATCGACTTATACTGATATCTAAAAACAAAAAATATATTTTTTTATTGGTTATCCTGACTGATTTTTTTTTCTAAGTCTCGTTCATCAGAGTTCCACTCGGATAGACTGTTTACCATAATGTCGGATTTAAGATTCCCTTCCTTTAAAGTTTTAATTTTTCTGGAAGTTCAGACAATAAACGCGAATTCTTTCTTATGTCCGCATAAAAAAGTAGAGCTTTTGTGAGCTTTTGACGAAGTTTGATATCGTTCAGCGCTTGTAAAGTTTGTTGGTTTGTAGGTTTAAAAATAATTTAAATTTTTCCTAACTTTAATTATATGAAAAACAAGAACTAGTACTCATGACTACACTATTGTAGTTTATTGTTTGAATTCTTCATACAAAACAGCTACATCAAACAAAATAGCTCAAAGTTATATTTACGGAGAAATGAAGGGATTCCAAAATGTAAAAATAAAATAAAAATAGTAATACATCGTACTTTTGAACATTTTTTAAATAGTTAATCTCACTTTGTTTGGTAAATTTGCTCTTAAACTTTATTTAAATGTATTCCTAATATAATTATCTTAGAAACAACACCTTCCCACTCCCTGCATTCCCTCCATTCTTCTATTTGGGATAAAAGATGTTTTGAAAGACTGATTACTTCAGTTTCAAACTAGTTCAGATTGATGTAACAATTCAGCAATCATAAACTCTAGATGTACCCAAATTTTATTGTGTATCAATAAAAATGATATTTAACTTTTTTTATCGGGAAACCTCTTATTTCGTTGGAACTAGATCTCTTTTTTATTGTAACAGACCTCTTCTTAAGTTTTTAACTAACAGAGAAACAGAGTTTCGTTACTGAAGTACATACATATATGTATATGTATGTAAACATATAACTTTGCGCATTTTTATTTTATATCTGAGAAAATTTTACCTCCTGTATACAGGAGTCTTAATATATTAAGGTCACTGTTAGAAATACTTATATCGTAATGTACATATTTTCACAAAACAAAATTGTTTCTACGTCATTTTATACATTCAAGTATGATTTTTTAGATCTAATTGGTTAAGTAATTCAGTAAATTCAAAAAGTATACATATTTTTAGTGTAAGCTCGATACTGTCATCAAAAACTATGCGTTCAAGCCAAGCAAACACTATTATTAAATTTACGGTGCATCACATAATTAACTAGAAAAGCAAACAACAAAAAATCCTAGATACTTAAAATAAAAGTGTCTTGAAAACAGTTCAGATTAATTAACAAGAAAGTCTATATAGTTGATAAGCCTTAGAACCTTGTGTAAATTTGTTGATCGTTCTGTACTGAACTTTGATTAAATTTAACAATTGTTTGACATTGATTAAGTTTATTGAAATACAATAAATCGTTAGTCACATCACTACCGGTCCGTTAATTTTTGATCAAACAGCAGTAAAGCGAATTAATATTTGTTCAAACAACATATTTGTCGTAATGTTGACAGCTACACATTATCAATACACACCTCTAATAAATTTTGATCCCCATTAATCCGTTTCTGATTCATTTGTACTGTGGTCACAATAACGCGATCATTGGAGTGATTTAGGTATTAGCAAAACATTTATGACTTATTGAAATTTACTCTTACAATATTATTAATTTTCAAATTATGAATTTCGATTCATATAGCGGTAAATTTAATTACATTTAACTTTTATTTTTGCAAACGATGCTGTATTGCGTACATATTTTCAAAGGGTTGCTATTGAAAATAACTAAGAAAGATTTTAATCTTTCAAATTATAATCCATAAAAATCCTTTATGTCTCGACTTATTCTGGAGCAATATTTTTATCAAACGTGACCTATGTTGCTTTGTAAGGTAGGATTGTATTGAAACCACAAAGGATCTCAATCGGTTCACTATGGTGTATTCTAAAAGATGAATTTATTTCCCCATGAACGGGTATTATCGATATTGGATGCAAGTACAAGCACTATAAAATTTTCTACGTTAAGCAATGCATATACAACACCATAAAAATCCCTATAGCGTTGTACATATCGCGTTAAGTATGACACAGACAAAAGACGATATACAAATTAATGAAATAATATTATATACTTTTGCAAAAACATGCCTTTAAGAGTATATATTAAAATTATTTGTATTTTAACTTTAAAATATATACATTTTTATCACAGACTTATGATGATTATTTGATATTTAATACAAGTAATGATGGATTTTAGCTTCATAGTCCGGAGAGAGTATACTTGAGACTAAATGTATGTATATAAATATATGTAATTGTATAAAGTCTGCACCAGCCTTTATGAGAGCTGAAGCGTGACTGGGGTATGAGACTCACTTAATTTACTGAAGTGATGTTCCATACAACAAAGTCTTTTACGAGTTTTTATGGAAGATACGAGTGATACATTTTGAGGAACTGATTTCAGTAATCAACTTTACCTTAACTTACATGACTGAAACATTATTAATGAAAAATATCACCTGTCTTTGCATTATATATATTAATTAATGAAAAATACTTGAATGATAAATTACTATAGCAGCAAATATTAATAATTAATCAATAAAAAAAGATCATATAATACCGAATTAGAAGCAATAAAGAAATCCTAATTTTATTGTAATATATAAACCCAAACGATATATAAAACACTCAAAATAAAAAGCTACTTAAATAACTATTAAATTCCTTATATTTCCTTTGAGTAACATGCATAATGCATCGATAATTTATACAATAGTTGCTAATCCTACTCATCTCTCAATACACTAATCAAATCCAATAGGCTCTGTTCTTCCGGACAACCATTGTATATGTAGCCACAGTTGAACATCTGCTTGCCCGCAGTCGCCGCATCCTCATACATTGACATAACATCCGACCAGTCAGAATCTTGCTTCTCAAATGCTGAATGCCCATAGTCTGGCCTACAAATATAAAGAAACTATAGTCATGTATTCATTTTAGATATCTAAAACGTTTTACTAAGAAAATAACAGATTAATGATCTATAAAAGGAAAGTAATATTAATATATATTAATCCTTAAAACAATTTTTTATCAAAGTCTTTAACACATTATATTAGCTCTTTGAATAGTAAGTAATAACATCAATACAAAACGCTCTAAAGCATTATATGTTAGTTTACATTCTTGAAAGTTCCTATAATCTGCTTTGGAGTCTGTAACACAACAGTGGAGTTTACAGGATACAACAGGGAATAGCTCGAAATTTACGCCATTATGATCTTCAGTGGAGGTTTAAGATATATCGAGAATCTCTACTGTTTATTGTCTCCATGAAATTCAAATCATACACGGGCTTTAATTGAGGAGAGAATTGTTATAACAAGCAACTATAAACTATTCAATGTATGTATCACATTAGTTTATATCATTTGAAAATGTTTTACTATCTTCATCTAATTTACAGTCTTTAAAATAAATTTAGACGTGGATTAGGAAATGAATCACAATTCATTTGACCAAAATCTTGCAAAAAAAACAAAGTAAGTTTCAAGAATCACCTATTTCAAAGTCGTTATACACTTACGTCAACAAAATATGTATAATCTCTCCCACTAAGCCCTCCTCTTCTAGTGGATATTGTGCATTTTCGCAGATTGCTCTCAACACACAATCCTGACCACTGAATCCTTTCCTGAAAAACACGTCGGGGTCATTTACACGTCCATAATACTCTGGATCGAAGATGACCATTATACATATATTCAACAAAAAGGTAAGGAAAATTTATATGGTACACGCAACTAAATAAAATAAATCATTAGTTTAAGAAAATAATGGTATTGTCATAATTGTAATATTACCTATGATATTTCTCTCTTAACAATCATTTTAATAAACCGATCAAAAAAATATCGTTTATTTTATTTATTACAAACATCGTAATTAACGACGCTTAAATCTCAATTTTCATCGAATCGTTATACTCAGGAGACCCATTACAAGGTAAACCATGCTTAGTGAAGCGGATAGGCCTTTTATATTAACTATCGTGATTTATAATTTTTGTGCTCCCATTTATGTGGGTAGATAAATGTAAAAATATTTTATTTTTTTCTGTTCCTTATACTTTTTGGTCTCCTTGTTAATATTTATGTACATGACCTGTTTCTCGTGAATGAGATGTTTTTATTTAGGTATTATGATGCTTTGTATACCTTATACACTCACTGAAAGTGGGTGGTTGTCTATTGTCATTGAAATTATTATTCTTATACTACATACAATTCCCCTTCAAATTACCTTCATTACTTAATATTAACAAGAAAAAAGATATACTCACATTTCTAACATATCTGCTAAAGATTTATAAAATACCAGCCTCTCATCTCTTCTTGTTAGCAGATCAGCATCTCTTTCTTCTCTAGACACTTCTTTTATGAAGTAATATCGAGACAAACTTGATATGTTTTGAATTTGTAGATATTGGTATTGAAAATTTACACCAAAAAGTAGGCTAATATAGTTTTCTACATGTACAGGTGCGGCAAATCCGATTAGAAGCTGAAATCATTATGTATTGTTATTTGTAATATTTGAAATAGTTATTCAATACCGTTGGCACATTTATGTTATGCAAAATACGTATCTTTGATTGTTATTACTTGCCTGTTTTAAAACAATGAGTAGTCTTTAACTTTATGGTTATAATCAGTGGCGGCTGTACCTTAAGTGCGCCCGTGCGCTGAACCACCAATTCAAAATATTTAAAAATTACAAAATATTATGTCATCTTAATTTTTAAATTACCATTTTAATATTTATTTTTTAAACATACAAAAAGGTATAAAAAATTTAATTTCCAATTATGGTCAAAAAGTTTGAGCGCTTTACTAAACTCATATCGTGCGCTCCGGCGAGTGCACGAGGACTGCTAATACATCTTGTATGAGACACGCATCAATACGCCTGGCGCGTGAGACAAAAGATAGTTCATAGAAATGTACCGAGTAACGACTCGGTTCTCGCGCGCCGCACGAAGCGGCCGAAGGTTACCGAGAGCACCCGATGTATGACGTATTGAGCCGGCCGGCAAGGGGCCGGCCGAAAGGTTGGGTGCTATGATTGACATTTCGTTAATCGTTATTGGTATTGTTTCAACTTTCACTGTATGCGTGACGCGTTAATTCGTTATTGTTTATAATTATTTCCGTAATTCGTTTTAGTTTTTATTTCGTTTCTATAATAGAACTTTTATTCTGTACTGTGTTTTTTATTAGTTGAAAATGAGTATAAATATTGATTATATTAAAGAAAATAACAAAATTTTTCAAAGTAAAGTGAACATAAAATTGGCCGGGCCGCCACGGCCCTTTTTAAATTTAAAACAAGAGTGTAAATCGAAAAATAAAGCATTTATACGAAGTTTTAAAAGTGAAATGTATAATAGAAAGAAATGGTTGTGTGGATGTGAGCGTCTTAATACATTCTTTTGTTTTCCTTGCATTATTTTTGGCGGAGAATCGATTTGGACAGAAACTGGAATCAGATTTTAATAAAAAGGTGATAGAACATTTCGCTACAGAAAAATGTCGTCGCATTGATTTAATGTACAAAAAATAAACATATTTTATGTCAATTGTTGTTTTTGTCAATATTTTAGTAAAGTGAACCACCAGTTCGATAACCCACCAGCCGCCACTGGTTATAATAAATATAATATAAAACTTCACAAGATTAAAAAAATTGTTAGTAGCACAAGGAAAACAAAAATAATTATTAATCAGTTCAATAATCAATAAACATAGCTATGTTTTGTATTTACATATATTTCATTGAATAATTTTTGTTCTATCAGTCACTGACAGGTTGGAAAAATATTAAAATGTAAACTACCGCAAGTTAAGCCAGAAACGGAACTGTACAGTTATATAAAAAAGTATGCTTTCTAGCGAGAATTATATTTGAAATCATTCACAAATAATTATTTTATCAAGCAATTTATATGACTATTTTAATTTAATAACGACGTTTATGCCGTACATGTATGTATATATCGATTTGGCTGCCTGGCACTCCCTCCCTCCCACCATTTTATTCCCTCATTGAAAGTACCCGTAAATAGTTTAACCCGAGACCATTCTGAGTTCTTAAATTTGTGGCATGGCCATAAATTCTAAGAAGGCTCGAAAGAATAATTGCCTAAATGAGATCTATTCTGCGATCTAATATAAAAATTCTATTGATTATTCTCTGTACCGTAATGGTAGTCCCCTTGTACCCAGCCGATAAACTCGAGTCGAACAGAAAACCTTTCACAAGAAACTCGATTGATAGATAGGATCTTTTAGTATACTTTTAAACAGAAACAGAAGTATACTATGTGTAAAGGAAAAATGCATTACCTTTCTCGCTAATACATTTTGATAAAAGAAGTAAAGGTGATTACGATGAAAAGTGACTAAACATATTCACAACATGTGGGGAATTTATTTTAACGTAATACCCGTCTCTAAAACAACTGACAATAAAAAGTTCTATTCTGTGAGGTCATATGGATGACTGCAGTTACAATCATATCTATTTTCATCACGTTGTGCTACCGCTATGAATCTGACATCTCTACTACCTACTAGAACAAATGTCACAAATTATGTCTGAATAACGAGATGTAACGTTGATTTCGCTCATAATCTTATTTTTAACTTCTTTGACAAGTCTCTAGGCGTCTAGTTTCAGTTTGTTCTTGTGCTTGCAAACTTTGTTTCAGTGCCAATTGCAAAGAATTCTAAGATAAACAGGAATAAATTTACATTCATATAAGCTGTACTTTTTGGTCTTTTTGATATGGAAAATTAAACTTTAAAATGCTACTTTTGAAATCTTTCACCTCTCTAAACAATAAGTTCATAAACTTTTACTACAATTTTGGTAATCTATGCATTTCTCACAACTAAAATATTATTTGATTCCAATATTACAAGCTCAAGTACTAGTTACATACAGTATTTCTTAACCCTCAAAAGCTGCAACTCTTTCACATCTTTAGAAAGTAATAAGGTTTTCGATATAAAGTTAAATTTTAAAACTTGAAGACTTTAAAGCTTTTATACATAATATGTGATTAACAATAAACATCTTAAAGCAATACTTTTAAAGAGGTAAAACGATATAATAAGAGTCTGATTTGGCTAAAGGTAGCAACCACAATTTTATCGGGAAACCCTAAAGTCTTCATACTATGTATATAAGAACTTTTTATTACCTTAATAAGATATACCAAATTTCAATCAATAAATTTATAAATTTAAAAAAAATACTAGCATTCTGATATAAATCTCTTAAAAATGAATCATTCGTCTCACACTTTTATCTAAAATCTTAGTTTATATCTTTTTCTTTACATGGTTAAATTTAATAAATTCTGATTTACTAATAAATTAACAAAATATTACATTTCTAATTAAACCTAAAACTTCGAAACATATTGGCATTTTTAAAGCAAGGTGTAATCAACTGCAACTTTTTTAAATATATAACAGTGTATAATAATTGTCTTTATATAATTTAGACTTAAAATAGTACCTTATACGTTCCTCCATATGGATAAACTAGTGGAAGACTATTAATTTGCCTCTTTTCGCGAAAATTTTCTTCAAGCGATTGTGAATTATCCGATTTGGACGTCTGCAATGTTGCTATCATAAATACTAAGATAAATAAAAACCTGAAAAACATATGATATGCAATATTATAATAAATATATTTGATAATATACAATCTCATTAATGTAAGGAGGTTTTTAAATGTAGCTATACGATTATAAGACCAAAAAAAATATTATGAATTATAATGATTATAATAAATAGAATTTTTATTTTAAGGTATAAAATTTTTAATACATAAATTTAATTATAAACAAAGAGGTGTGGACCATCCAAATAAAATTTATTTAAAGGAAGGATTACATCAAAACAAGTAAGCTAGATAATTTCCTTACCTTTCATTAATCATCTTGTTTGTCAAAGAAAGCACAAAACACACATATTTCCTCAAAAACCCTACGGCGTGCGTCAGGTTGTGACGAAATTTCGGCTCCACGGCACACGTCTTTAGGAATAATAAGGCTGTGTCTATACGAGAAAATAAAATTAAAATTTTACTGTATGAAAAAAAATATGTCATAAAAGATAATATTTATCATTCTAAAATATACATGGTATAATCGTCAAAGTGATTGAACAGAATAAAAAAAATACTTTATAGTCTCGTCGTTATAGTCTCAACTATTCATTGCGACAGTGTTACATTTTATGTGTCAAAATTTTTAAAAATTCACATTTAGAGGTGAAGCTTTTTATTGATATTCAATTACTTGGTACCAAGTAGATATATTAAAATATATTTGAAGCATAAAGTACTATTTTTTTTAATTCTTACTTATTTTCATACTAAATCGTAAATATAAAATCAACAGTGTGAATACAGCCTTAGTAGTAAATCTCAAGAGTCACATGATTTTGAACTGCACTAATTTGTTTACCTAACAACAGACGAGTCACGAGAAGACCAGGCGGATCTATTACGTGTTAACTTTAACACTTGTATCTACATAGTTTAACCGTACTCTGTAATTAGATAAGTGACATCCATGAATATCGTTCCCGGTTCAATAAAAAACTTATAAATCTGTGAATTGTGATTAAATAATTGGTATAACTCAGTAACATTTTATGCTTATCCATTTTAAAATCTTATAGATATTAAATCAATATGTAATTCACAAATTGCAATAGGTTTAATTTATTCAAAACGGACACGTAATAATACACTTACTGTATTTTCTGCTCACCTCTAAGACACTACGTATACATTTTATAATGTTGTTCTATGATAGAATTATTATATCCACATTATTTACGACCATCATCTCCTTTTTACCGATCGAAACTAGTTTTGAAATCACCGACAACACACATAGAAGTCGAAGGCAGCTATTGTTCCCGAACTCTACACTACTGCAAGTAAGATTTTAAACTAACCTTTACTTATGTCACTCCTAATAGCTTAAGTGGATACGTATATTGTGCTTATACTATAATTGTGAACAACGTTCTTTCTTTATATTCTAAAGCTTACCAACCAAAATAAATGTAATTAAAGAAGTAATGACAGACTTGAAATACTCATAAAAAGTACGTCATAATTAAAAAGTCAGATCTCGCTTTTTTATTTAGAATTATTTCATTCACAAGATTCTGAATACACTTAGAATTTTTGTGATGTACATATTTTCTAATTGGAGTACATTCATCTTTTAACAAATATCGTAATCAACTTTACTTGGCATTGCAGGCAACTTGACATAGTATGTGAAAAGGTCAAAGATCCTTAAATGAAATGTCATTAATACATATTTTCAACCTATATGTATGTTTGTTCGTCTCAGTAAATTATTTCTCTACTAGAAAAGTTTAATCTTTATCCAATCAGTGTTTTAAAATCTATTGTATATTCGAACCTACAAGTAAAAAAGAATAAGACGCTGTCCAAAAATCGTTCTATAAAATTTATTTGTCTGCAGTCATTATTATCGGTTCTTCCAAAGTTAAATGATAATTTACTTTAAAGCACTATCAGCTGTTCCTTTGAAAAACTATAGCATGAAATGATAAAGATTACAGTATACGATATATTATAGCACGGTGATATAGTGTCTAACTTGCAAAATACTTCGAAGTTATCAAGTGATAAAGCATGGACGTTATTAACGACCGTTCTCTAACTGCCTGTCAGTTTATGTTATATTGGTATATTTATATTATATGTTGAAATATGAATATTTACATGATTCTGAATCAGTGGCTTCTACAATTTATTAGTGGTTTTCGAGCTAAAAATCTTGTTTTCATAAATTTCAGTGCAACTTCGGCATGGCAATTCCAACTCCTGACAAGGGCATTATCGTTAATTGGGCTATCCAGACCAACTTTCAGCTGCCGTGGAACAGGTCACAGATCCCAGTGGATATATTTGAAGCCAACTCAGGATATGTTGGCACAGCAAGGAAAAAACGCGATCTGGAACTACAATACAGGAATAATGCTAAACTATACCATTTCTATAAAGCCATCGAAGATATTGTTACTGGGTAAGAAGCTTCAAATTTTCTAATACTTTGAAAAGAAATTCTTTGAAATTAATTAAATATATCAACATCATAATACTACAGCTAATACTATACCATTCAATCGTTTCTTTACAAAGCAATAAACGGAATAAAATATGTTTTAGAAAAATGTACAAATAAATTTTTTGCTTTGATAAATAGTAATCTATATATTTCTAAAATATATTTATTACTTGTTTTAATAATAACACTAAACTATTGTTTTCAAACAATGAGAATAATATTCTGTTTTAAAATAAACATTTCAGCTAGTTCTAGGAATTTAAAGTTTTTATAGAAGTGTAATTGGCTAGACGTTTGGTCTAACGAATGTTGGACGTACGCCAATCCTGCTATTGATTGCAACGAAATGCAAAAATTTAAAACAAAAAATTCTGGCGATTTAAATCGTATATTGTTTTGGCCTTTTGGTTATTTAAAGCACATTTTATGACCGCTGCAACGGGGTTCGAAAACGCGGCGCTCTTAAGGTGATTTTAAATGCGGCTTAAAAATCTTTAAATATAAATACTTAGTCTTTTAAGATATAGTTTATGTTTAACGTTATATAAGCAATCTTATAAAATAATATTATTCTAAGAACTGTGTTCACATATATATTTTCTATAACATTTACACTGAACGATATATTAAATAAATCAGTGAACCGAATTTTATCAATTTGAACAACATAAATTATTTGGGCCAGTGACCCGAACATTTCTAGTAAAGATCTTTTATATTATAACACGAAAATCTAAAATTCCTATTGAAATATATATAAAATTTTGACTCGATTTAAATTTCTAGAAGCTTTAGGAAAACCTTACCTCAAAGACCAACTTCATATAGCAAGCCATAAAACAATGGAAGTACGTGAAAGATTCAAGCATGGGAACGATTTATCTACGATATGACAATGCCATTGCACAGGAACCACATAAATGGTTTTGTCAATTTTCGTTTTCCGAATGTGATTTTATGTTATTTATAGTTTATTCTTGGGTTATAAAATATACATAATTCATCATACAACCTATTTCATAATATAATGGAAGTTGAATTCGAAGATTAGATAAAATATAGCAAGAAATGTACCCTTTAATAAGAATATTTCATTATCTTTATAATTTAAAATGTTTCTGCTAACATTTTAAAAATACTGAAATCATAATTTGCGGGTACACGCGTTAAGCTCCGACAAAGGCTAATGTTTTATAATTACACCGGCTTTATTTGAATTTTATTCATTTCAATTAAGTCTTCAACATCTGTTTTTGATGAGAAATCAATACTGGTTGATGTAAAATTAATATCGAAGAATTATGTGCTTTTGTTTAATGGACCATGGCTAGTTGGAATATTTTAATTATTATTATCTTTATGTAATAAAAACATTTATTTATAAGAGAAGAAAACCAAACCAAACTGTATTCTGAAATCTGAGACATCAATTTTTTCATGATAAAATAATTTTCCTTTCAATTATCCTAACAGCTACGTCCTTATTTTTTATAATTCCTATAATTTTTCTTACGCCATTGGCGATGTCATGCCATAATAATATACCATCTTTTCCCATTTTCCTTATTAAGATAGCTCTATATTTTTCTATTAGATACAGCCCTTGAGTTTGACCAATTTATAAAAAATCATTTCGCTTCTTTATTGATAAAATGCATCGACATTTAAATGCTGTAAATCAGTTTTTTTTACTCAGTTGAAGTGTACTTTCTATAATTCATTTTATGTCATGACTAGACATTTCCTGTACCTATAACAATATTATGAAAAAAGAACCGTTTCGTTACTCCATCTAGTAAAAAAAATTCCGTGCTGATAAAAGAGGAAATTCGATTTGCATTTTTGTTTCATTCCAGGATGTAATAGGTACTATATTGTGATGCCTTTTACATTGAAGTTAAAATGAGAAAATTTCTTTAAAATAATCGATACACAGCCCATTAAATTTAACATTTCTTAGCATGAGAATTATTGTTTTTAATATAAGAGTCATTAAGATAGTAAAAAAACTTAAAAATGACTTTTCATTATAGCAATAGTATTCGTTTCTATTCAAGAATACAAGTCACATAATACAATGCTAAAATAAGCTCCGTATTTATCTTATTAATAGAGGAAAATTGCGTTTCTGTAACAGGAAAATATTGGTTCGTTTTGCCAATCATTCATATTTCTTCATTAACAATATTATTGACAAAACAAATAAAAGTCTTATTAGTTCCAAATCCAGCATAGTGAACTCTTGACATGGTTCTCTCCCTTAAGAATACTCTTAATTATTAAATTCGGTTACATATTATTAATAACTTACTTAAAAACTGTTTACTAGTCTTTTGATATGTAATTATATATTATCATATATATACTTGAGAAGTTCTTTTTGGATTATTAGTCTATTTATTTAGTGTACAGTCTAAACTAAAACAAAAGACGATCACGGTCTTAAAAAATATTATTATCTACTCAAAGTACCGTCCTTTTAAAATATATCTCCACCGTGTGTTGTATGCGGATGTCTTGTTGTTTTTCAAAAATACCACTTTATCCGAAGCTTGATACTTTTTTGATATTTCACTAGTAAGGACGATAATACAGACATCTCCACATACATACATGTATTTGTAATCTGCTTAGACATACATTTTTAATGTGATCTCCGCGTCGACTCCATCTAATATGAAACTAACCCATATACTACTATAGTCAAACATAAAACGTAAGATCTATATGGATAAACTTAAAGTATGAGATCTAAATACATATTTCGAACTTTTATTTTAATAGAGAAAAATATTTGACTGCTGAACTCGAATCAAAATTATTATTGAAATAAATTCGAATTGCGAAATAAAAATAAAATTATTGTCTTTGGTAGTAATGTACCGTTAAAGAATAAATATTAAAATCCTTATATTTCTTGATTAATTTCAGATTCGGACATAATGGCCAAGGATGTGTGCTTCGCACCCTCTGCCAGCTTGGAGCCGAACCACTCCATACAACGGGTGAGGACGATCTTCTTCACGAAATAGCTACATATGTACTTAAGTAAGTTGAAAATCATGAGATATAAGGATATTGTGATAAAAAAAGGCATAAAAAAATATTTTCCTGTCATAATCTGCATCTCATACTTGATACTATTTACTGGATCCACTCAATCCAAAAAAAAGTTTATCTTGTAATTAATGAAAGGACAATAGCCTCTTGTTGGTCGACTTCACAAATTTTGATTCGGTTTACATCATATTAAGACATTTTTTGCAATAAAACAGTTTTTGATATGATCCATATAATTGCGGAGACAAAAGAGTCGTCGTAGAGATATAAATATAAATGTAAAAAATACTGTTTTCTCAAACATAATTTAATAAACATTAATCTAGCATACAGCCAAAAAAATGTTTACTATAATGGACGTTACTTTATGACCTACCTGTATATAATATTTTAGTTATTTTTCTCAACAAACAGCGGCGTACATTCTCCCGGTTTCATTAATAAAGCTTTCCTTGATGGTTATAAAGTTAATCAACTCTTTTATGAATTCAGCTTAAAGATTAAGTTGGGAAAAGAACTTATAAAAATGTTATAATTGAATCTCTACTGTTATCTATTCTTATAACCAGGTTATATAGTAGTGGAAACTCTAAAATATTTAAAGCTACAAATCTAATGGCTTGACATATTAAATCGTCTCCTCATGAATACTCATTAGTTGCTGAACAACACCTGAATTTCTTATGAATTAACACGATGACACCAAGCAAGGTATATCTGGTTCACAATAAGGAACATTCAATGACTGGCGTTAATGATTTTAAATCGTTACTTTGACTGTTTTTACAGTAAACGGAAAGTTACCTTTAACTACGTTATCAGGCCTAAGTTCGTACTAAAATCAATAAATTTTTTAGTATCTTGTAGAACAAAAACTGCTACCAGTGATATGTTAAGGTGGCATGTTGCAATGGTTATTAAACTCGTAAATATAAGAATCTTCATACTTTCTTATGCAATTTTGAATAGCGTAAAAACTTCTAAAACTTCGAGGTAATATGGTTTGTATTTGTGTTTTATTATGCGTACGTAATCTATGGCAAAACCTTATTCCCGATGTTTCTTTTAACAGCTACAACTCGTCTATCACGTACGCAGGTTTTTGATTTATATTAAGATTATTATATTTATATAGAAAATGGTTGCACCTTTCTTATATATATATATACCTGAGCTCATAAACAAAGTTTTTTAATAATAAATTAACTGTAATCGATATAATTACTGTTGTATTCGTATCGTATTCTAAGATGAAAAAGAATTGTATCAGGGTGGGATCAAATCGATGAAAATGTTTCATTTTTGTAGCTTACTAATGGTTATTTTTATCTGCCTGTATTCATTCATATGCCTAACAATTTCTAATTAAATTCTTATTTATTTCTTTTTATTAATTTATTTTATGCTGTATGACTATCTTATCTATAATCTTCATTAAAATTACTTTTCAGTTGAAGTTATTACTACATATTTTTAAACGGTTTTATTAAATTTATTATTAATATAAAAGCTAGATATTTTTAAATAATCGTTGAAGTTTTCATAATTATATTTAATATGTATACAGTACATTTGCAGAAAATAGTATTGTAAAAAGATAAGTATTTTTATGACTTTATTTTTCTTACCGGTTTTAAGAGGAAAATTTGTTTCTACTTTATAGAGTATAATAATACTGTCCTATTCTAGAATATTTTCATGATATTTGATGTCCTTCTAATTTCTTATTTATCATTACATTCCAGAAACATCTACATAAAAATTCAAAATTAAATTTTAAAGTTACGAAACAACAACTTCATCCGACCAGCGTATTTCATCTGTAATTAGCTTCATTGCATTTTAATCGAATAAAGTGCACGGCGACTCCCTAACTTAATAATTACATTTTTAATTACTTGCATTAATTAAATACGAGTTTATTTTCTTTGAATATATTTATTGACGCTACATAATTGGAACATCTTTAAGAATTTGAGTTAATAAAAAAATGTTTTTCATTAAGTTTGTATATTGGATGTTCTATAAAATTTCCATTTAATTTCAGTCCTCTTAACGACATTGAAGATGGTGTGAGCGAAGAGTCAATGCCCTATATAGAAGCAGTTCAACACGGCCGACGGCACAAGAATTGTATTAAAATTTACGACAATTGCTCCTTATCACTAATAGATTTGTTTACTATGTTCCACTAGTACTATTAATTAAACATTTATGTATATGTACGTTAAATTTTATAACTTAGTGATAAGTTGGTTTATGGAATATACGATTTTTTATAGAAGGTATTTTATTAATGCAATTAAAATAACATAAATTATATTAACATTCTCATGAGAAATATTTTGGGTTAATCTAAATTAGTTATTATATGGAATATAAAATTATAAGTAAGATGAAATATACACATGTATAATTTTTATACATATAAGTTTTTTTTAATTAAAATTAATATTATATTTAGGTCTTTCTTATATATTGATTCTGACTTCATACTACTCTTTTGGTAGTTTCTATAACACCACTATTTTAATTAAGAATAATTGGTATTTAATTAATCAGTAAAACATTAAAACAGCAGGTATTTAATTTAATAATATGCCAAGAGTGAAGGATGCAGAATACACACGCATTTATATAGTACATATTACAATAATAAGACATATTGAATATTAATAAGAATGCCAATAGTTTTCAAGGAATTTCCTGACTCTTTAAAACAACAATGAGAACCCCAATAATTTTTAACTCGCCTGACTTACGGGATTGCATATATGTTATTTGTTACAAAGAAACAAAAAGTTACTTATAAAGTGATTTTAAGGTCAAGAAAAAGACTATTATAATTAAAATCTATTTTATTTCATTTTAATAAAGTCCAAATTTATGCAGCGTCTCCATTCCGATGCCGGTAAATGTTTCGAGAATGGAAGATTCACATTCAGGAAAGAGTGATTCGCAATTTCGACCAATATCTCTCCCAAGTCTTTCAGCAGCGTGGTACTCGTTATCAGTGTGATGAGACAGACTATCTTTCGTTGTTGAAGGACTGAAATAATTGTAAATATATAATTGAAGCAAATAAATCATTGCAAATGTTTTTTCTTTGTATGTTACCTAAAATTTATTTACATAATTCAATAAATATTTTCACATATTTAAGTCAAAGAACATTATTTAAATGAAGTAAAGGTTAAATAAATAAAATTAAAATACGAAAATATATTTTTAAACAGAAATAACTGTATTAACGAACAAGAATTTCAAACATTTCAGAAGTCGAAATCTCCGTCACCTATCTATTACGACCCGACATCTTTATTAAGCTTTTATAGACTACAAGTAGCCAGGCACTTACGTGAATAATATATGGCCAATTTCTCCGAGCAACCCGTTCTCGTATGTGAAAGGCACCTCGGCAGCCTCGCATATGGTCCGCAACAAGCAAGGCCGACCTGAATAACCGTACCTGAGGATTTTATTAAAATCTTTATAACATTCCTAAAAGATTAACAAGATTACTTAATTTATAAGTCCCCAGTTAATCAACAACATTGACTCGACAAATTTACTTTTCAAACCTCTTATTAAAACTAGAACTAAATGTTAAAAGATTAAGTAAAGTTCGGACAAATTCAAGTATCCGTTTATACGCTTTGTCATCTGAATCAGTCCCTTAACTTTTAAACAATGTATACAAAACATAAACAATAACTCGGAGCCAGCTTTGGTGAAATCAACAAACTTAATCCGTGAATGCGAGGAATAAAAGCAACTCCGAGGGGGTGAAGTTTACTCAAGTCGTCAACAAGGTATTGAAAAACTTTTAGTTCTTCTGAAGAAGGCTATTGTAATAATGTTAGGTTAAAAATATTATTTCTTATGTAAATTCTATTTAAGTTCCAACATACCTCTCCATCATGTGTTCCATAATTTTATAGAAGTCCCATCTATTCATTCTTTGTGGTTCTTCTTCTTCTTCTATATGATTTCGATCGATAAGTTCTTGGCGACGGATGGCTTCATCGAGGGGCAGTTCTGTGTTTAGTTCTGACAAATCGATAGCATTTATAGCACCACCTTCAGAGTAAACGAGTGATCTTTTTCTTCTTGTATCATTGAAAGTGATATCAACCAATGTATCGTTTTCCATATCAGATATAACTTCTAATTCCTTGTCCACGTTTCTAGAAGTATCTATACTGTTTCCTTTATCATCATCGCCAGCATCATCATTACCATCCATATCTCTTGATACTGTGTTAGCAAATCCATAGATTCTACTTGTATATTCCGAACTGTTTGTTGGTAAATCATATTGAAATTTGATTACAGTACCAACGGTCACAGATGCTTCTTTTAAATCAACAGGAACACCCAGACCGATAATGAACTGAAGATAAAAATACATTAATTTTAGTGCAATATAAATACATATCAGATTTTATTCACAAATGCATTTGATAATAATCAATATCTATCTAACTAATCAAGCATCAGCTATTACACTAAAATTTGAAATCGGGAAACGATCAAATGTTATTGCTATACTCCTCTGGCGTGGTTTTATTATTTAATAGGATTGGTCCTTTCTCCGCGTCGTTTAGTTTTATTGGTTATTAAACCTTATTGTAAGGTAACTTATTAATAACCATTGCTTTTAACAAGTTGAGCTTCACAAGTAATAAGTTGTTAATAGAGCAATAAATATTCCGTTCCCTCCTGTAGATCCTATAAAGTTTTTATTAATATCAATATTTATCGCTCAAGATATTTACTTATTTTTCATACTTTGAGTGCCATTGGTTCCATTATAATGAATTCATAATTTTCCTTTTATTATTTTTAATCGGAAAATACAACAGGTCGCGAACAATGTTAAAAGCAAAATAAATTTACATTTTAATTTAAAATATAAACGTATTTTATTATGATGTAAGTTATTTTTTTGATAAAAGTATGAACATTAATAATGAATCGTCGAAAGCTACAGCCAACTTGACTAAAGGCACACAAAAATCATCGAAGATAAATATAAAATTAACTCGAGCGGAGCGAGAAAGCGTGAAGCTTAATTGCATTTGAATTCACGAACAAAAAAAATACTTCGTTAAGCCGACGCGAGTTAAGGAAAATATCATTTACTTAAGTTTATATGATTTGTATGTGTGAAATAAAAATTACAAATATACCTGAGTCCTAGCGGGGCCTCCGTTTGGATAGACTAGGTAGCGCTTGCTTCTCGTCGCATCTGTGAAAGACGCGAGCAAATTGAGCAAAATTAACATCAACAGCATCGTTACAAACGTGCAGCTCAGCCGTTGATGTGTGAATACGATGTAAGATAAAATGTAGAATGTTTGCTTAGCGACATACGCCTAATGAACCGTTATGTTTTCCCAGCGATTTGGGTTGCGAACGGCAATTTGTGATCGGCGAACTACATAGTTATCTAACGTCATGTGTCACAGTTGTTTTGTAAAGAATTTTCAGCGGAGGCTTCGTAAACTGAAATAGGTCAACGTTTCAGAGAACTTTATCCGTATAACATTATGAATATAAGGTAGATTGAAAACAACATATTCAAAGACAAACTCGTTACGTCTTGTATTAAAGTCAATGTTGAATATGAATTTGTATTGAATGAAAAATTAATTGCTATATTATTTAAATCAAATTGCTTCTTCTTCTCACAGAGAACACCTAAGAGAAAAAAATCTGTTTTTAATCAACAATGGGTAGTAATTGAATTGTCACTATTTGTTTTATACCATTTATTCGTATCGTATCGCCGTCAACTTGTTTTTCTATTTTTTAAATCTGTGAATGTAGCAAATCTTTTTCGTCCTTAATTTATCCTATTATTATTACCCTACGCAAAACTTGTTATATGATAAAATAATAATATCAAATTAAAAATAGTTCTTTTTTATTTCGTCTTCATATATGTAAGATTAATGAAATTTTGATAAAAAAAACAATCAGGTTCAATGGAATATTCTTTTTTATAGCTGTTTAATCGAGTCGACAATCTATAAAAGAACAATAAAATTGAAATGTTTAATGTTGATAGTCATACAGTTATAATAGATTTAGTGCGTCCTAAATATTATTTTCATAGTATTATTAAAGAAAAATCTCATTTCAGTTAAACTAGAATATATCAAAACCTGAGACCCATCAATATTGTAATCCAATTCCTCAGGAACACAGCCAAGAATCTTTGATTATTACTTTCAGTAACTTAAATTAAACGTTTGAAGCTATCCTTTGGGTACATATATTATAAAGAAGCAAAATTGTTTCATTAGAGCTGTATCAATTAATAACTTATATATGACCTAAACTAGTTCTGTGAGGTCAAATGAAAATGTACTTTGGTATTAATTTAGAATACCGCTTCAACTACCAATATTTAAACAGCACGAACTAATTTAACTGCTTGCATACTGGATCGGTAAATGAGACGCAAAACGGTTGCCATATATTAGCATAACATGCAATAGCCAGCAAAAAGATGCGCCAGGTCAACTTATTAAACTATAATTACTTTAAAAATAAAAACTATAATAGATATTCTTTTACTTTTAAATAAAAAATACTAAAAATTAACATTGAAGTACGACTTATAAATTCTAGAGATTCCATTGAAGTCAATAAAAAAAAGTCATGATATTTTTAATGAATGGCAGTTCTATATAATTTATAATCTATGATTATGCAGAAACAAGAATTATAAACGTGAAAGCTTTGAGCTTAAACATGAAATTAGGTACGTTTTGAACGACCGCAGTGTAATGGTTGAAGTTCTATGTTGATGTTCATGGAAATATTATGGCTGAACTGATGTATTTCTTTTGGTACCAGTTCTGTTTGTGACTTGCATCGTTACAGTTTATTTTATTCATACATTTTATTACAAAAATAGTATATTGAAACTAATCGTGATTGTTTAATAATGAGTATTGTAATTACGTAAAACGTATGTTCAATAACCAAGAATAAATAAATGTTTTTGGTTATACAAACAGTGTCTGTAGTACAGTTTGCTTTACCTTAGCCAATTACTCGACAAAGACAATTAGTGACGGAATGCATAACATGTGTAACAATAATTTGTCATGTTAAATGCAATTTACGACCGTATACATTCGGAATTATACGTCAAATGAAGATTTATTCAATTATGCAACTTATCCAGACTTATATTTAAAGTCAACAGCTCTGATATTCAAATAAAGCTGACGAACCAAACATATCGAAATGTACAAGTCGTATTAATGGAAAACCGACTTAATCAACCACTACATAACATACATAATCCAGTGAAGAGTTTACGGTAAGGAAAGCTATATCTATCGTACATTTCTGAACATACACGCCGTTAATCCCGCGACGGATAGTCGTTTTGGAAAATTAGTAGGTTTATCTTCGAGTTATGTTGATCCATTACATTGCGATGTAAGTATTTGATTTTAATTAATTTATAATTCTACTATATATACAAATATAGAACAAACATTTTCTAATTAATGTACTCTCCTTCCTAGATTGTACTTCATTAAAGTATTATGCCTTAAACAATCTGCAGCCCTTGAAAGACAAAGAAGATATCTTATATTCACGCCAAGCACACAATGGGGTGTGAGTTTCAATTTGTTATTGTTACTTTTCTGTTATATATATGTATATAAAATTAATTTCTAGGTTTATTCTCTTAGTTGTATAGGATTAATACAAAACTTGAAGTAACGAAGACATACTTGAGTTTGTATGTACAATTCATTTTAATTCGGGAAGTAAATAATACGAAACGATTCGAAAAAAACGAAATCTATGAACAAGATCTGTATAGCAAGCCATTTCATTTTCTGAAATCTTTGTTCTTCCTTCTAGTTTCTATTTACTCTTTATTCATAAAACATTGACGAATGAAATATCCCTCATGATTAGTTTTAAAAATAATGTTAAACTATTTGTTTTAAATTTCTATGAAAATTTGTTACTTCTTCGGTTTTCTAATATCAAAATAGTTAATGTATTAATTGATTACAAAACAGGTATTTGTCACGGTGTCTGTCCCACTGCCCGAACCAGATACATTAGTCAGTGTAGCGTGGTTCTTTGAAGCTAATTACTACAACGTGGCAAACGCTTCATATTTTGATCCATTGCTTGGTGACGTTGAAGTAAGTGAACTTTGGTTCTAATTAAATCTCCTATCTATATCAGGACTTAAGATAGCTTCATATAATTCTTTACATTAAGTATTATATACGGGAGATAAGTCCAAAGTAGCATTTTTAGCTAATGACTTAATGAAATGTAGAAAGAAGATAATCGGACATAAAAGTAATTCACAAAGAAGAAATGTAATGACTGACCCACCAAAGTGACTTTTACATGATATACTTAAAGTAGTATATTACAAATCTACTGTATTTGAAAAAAAATCTCGCTGCATAGTTTTTTCGATTGTTTTCTAAGTTTTTCGCATCAAACCAGATATAACAATTAAGTATAGTAAATAAATTCAGATTATGAAAATGAGATATGTATTTAAGTTTTTTATTAAATTACTAACAATAAAATATAAAACAAACTTTTCATTTACAGTTTTCTAGTCTTCGTGCTGAACGCAGTATATCGAATCTATTAACCAGGCGCTGTTTATATACTTTCGTGGAAAACATGCTTGAGAGGTACCATAAAAGATTACTTACATGAAGACACATGATACATTAAAATAAGTCATTAATGGATAACAAACAAAGTCATAATGACCGTAGATAAAAATCTACCCATCCCCATAAATATCCCTAGCAAACAGATAACCCACACCAAAAGATTACACTGATGAAACAAATTTATATTAGGAAAAGCACGGAGAAGATTTCAGTCAAATAAAGCGTTAATACATGGGTCCGTAATCCAGTAATTCCGCTGCCGAACACGGTTCACTGAACGTCTCAAATAAATTACTCGTCTCGCTATATACATACGTAATGATAAAACTGTCTTAAGATTAAGCGAGTTACATAGGCTTAATATACGGTTTACAACACAGTCAGCGGTGGCCTAGTGGTTAAAAGGCCCGCCTCTCATGCTCGAGGGCGCGGGTTCGATCCTGGCCCTGGCAAGTGATTTGTCGGAGTCATGTACTTTCTAAAAGTATTTTGACACCACAGATTAATGCATTCCCAAGGAGGGGTTGATGTCAGGCAGAGGTGGCAGGTAGTAATGACAATTGGCCAAAACTATTCACAACATGTAAACCCTGGCTAAAGCTGGGAAATTGCCAGGTAAAAGAAGAAGAAGAATATACGGTTTATAACCATAACTCAACTTCTTAATGAATCAACTTAAATTGTTATATTTTCCTTATTTACTAGCTAAAGATCAGTTATAGTGATTATGACAAAAACTTTCTCGAGTTTTTGCGAAATGTTTGACGTTTTGTCAAACCGCATAAAAGTGTGAGTATCAAAGACAATGAACATAAATCACGGCATGCAAAAACAAGGGAGGAAAGCTCGGTCTTTTACAGGCGTATCACATTTTAAATCGCAATGTTAGTACTTCTGTGACACTGCTATATCGATTTTACGCTAGATATTTGAAACTAATGTTCTTTTTATCATCATTATTTTAAAATCTAAGATTTCTACTTACTATCAGAACATATTTTAAGGGGTTTTTAAACATTTATAAGTATAATAAAGTCAAAAAACTGATTCAATATTTTAGTTCTTTCGATTTTTAAATCAAATAATTGAAATTTTAATATAAATACCTTAATTGATGTTCTATGCTGAAATTGATATTATTTTGTTGGGATGTTTAATTTCATAATCCAACATCTAAATCTATTTTTTCTAAATTACATTTTTCTCAAAATGGTTTAAGATTCTATAATTCTATCAAAATCAATTCATTTATATAAAATTACCAAACATTCTTTCAAAATATACAAGAATTAGTAATACACTTTATTTAAATGTCGGTAAAAACGTCGTATTTACTTGCAGACACGGTTACCAGGGCCGGGAATGCTTACTCAGAGCGATTTGTGAAAGCTCCTCTCAGTTTCTACATAACGGCGTTTTGGGAGATTTACTTCATCTGCTACTCACGTGAGTTTCTTATATCCGGTTGATATTTGAGATTCTGTTCAAGTACCTACACCAGAAATAACAGTAATATAATGAGATGTAAGACTTTCGCGAATTCTATTCGTTTAAATGAAACTTATATTTTTCGGATATACTACGCGTGCTATATTTTTGTAAAAAACTACACACTTCCGACGTTTCGACATAATATAAAACATTCGCAGTATATCCGAAAACTATTAGTTTTTCAAAACCAATATTCAAAATTTTCCAACGAATATTCATAAAAGATAAACTAAGTATTTTATTTTAATTTATTTACTTCTTTAATTACGTTATTAAGATTGTGATTTTAAATTTGCAAAACCTACTTAACAGTTTAATCTTATGAAAATTAACGTGATACTGTAAAATCTAATTTATAAATGCGTTTTGTGTTTGTCATGTAAACGTATTAGTAATTAGGAACGTGCTGCTATTACAAATACCATACGTTTGACCAACGATCTACATAGTATTTAAACCATTAATCGTTACATTAGTTTTCTAAAATTTTACTATTTTGAATATTACACTCATAGACATAGACTCGAAATTTGTGGATACAGCAAAATGTTTTGCTAGCAAAATAATGTGAGAGCACGTAATGTAAGCTTTCACTAAGTGTGAGTCGCATCTAGATTTTGTAGGAATTTTATATGTGACTTTACTATTTGAGACAAAAAGAATAAAATGTTCTTTTTTTGCAGACCTTCAACATCGATTTCTGAAGAAGATATAGAAGATACTTACTACGAGGCAGAATACTGGGGTTTGGAGAAAAAATGCGACCACTACAACTATCATTGTCCTTCGAATCCTATAGATAATATCTCTGTTGACTTAAAATAATGTGATGATAAAAAAAATACAAAAAACGAATGGACAATAATTGATGAAATTAAAAATATTATTATGATCGACAGTGGCACTAGGGGAGTAAAAACTCTTATTATGTCAAATATTATTAGTCCTAATGGCTTTGACACTGCTGCCAACTGAAAAGACCAAGGTTGTCACAGAAAATATAATTTTTCTTATAATAATAATAAGAAAATACTTAATAAAATAAATGATTCATAAAATAATTAATGGTGTAGTCGGAAATTGTTGAACAATAATGACATTCGTATCATAATTACTCCATGTAATGAATGAATATTAATAAACTTGCTCGGTTTTCCTTTTATACTGCGGTCGCGAATTCTATTTTCTCCTCCAAACGTTTAAATGAATACCGACCACAAAACCAAAACAAACCGAACGAACCTCATGCCGTTAAAAAAAACAATTATCTCTTCGGTCAAAAGTCTAAGTAAAAACGAAAAATACCACATCACCGACTGGTGTGCCATGAACACAATCAAAATATCGTTATCGACAATATACACGACGGTGTTGCTGTCGATTTACACAATATTGTACCTTATTGGTATACAAATAAGAATGAAGGTAACATCAACTTCTATTCTCATATAAGGGGCTTTACGTCACTGGGTGCAGTTGACGCGGCAAATATTTGCATATAGGTAAATTGCTTGCACATTCGTTCCACTGTGATGATAGAAGCTTTCTGGGATTTACATTGCCTGTAATATGGGAACTTAGCTCTCATGATACCATTTAGTTCCCTCATAAATAAGAGCATCTAAATCTTTCATACAAGTTATTTTGGTACATAATCAAAACAAGTGAGTTATGTTAAATAATTTTAATTATACACCGAACTATAAACGTAATAAAGGCTTAGTCATGAAATAAGATAAGTTTAAAATGAAAAAAGATACACCTGTGTATATCAAAATATAAATTAAATGATTGTTAAGTATTTTGTTTTTAATCACATCAACCCCCAATTCTAATCTATAACTCTTATTTCAGGCCAAAAATACAAAAGGTCAAGAAAGAGAAATAATTATCAAAACATTAATTGTACACCGAATACATATTTTCCAGATTTAATTTTACAAATTATCCACTATTAGTATTCATATTAATTTAAAGCTAAATAAAATTGGATTTCAATCAACAACGCAGAAACAGATAAGTAAGTTCTTCGAAACGCGTAATTTAATGCGAATGTGATCACAGAGTAATGAAGTATCCATAAATAATTAATTGTATAATTTTAATTACATTTATTAATCATATTTATAATTTATTTTATGATTATCATCATCAAAATCTCGAGAGATTTAATAGTATGACTAATTTTGCAGCCTAACAGATATGGCGGCATAAAATCTGTTCTAGAACTCAAAGTTACTGCATCAGACAAACAAAGAACGGCCTCGGGTTAATTTATCGACGCCAATTAAACTGTTTGCGCCTGTTGTTTGCGTTGCTGCAATTTTATTGCTTGGAAATGCCAAATTATTGTTGACGTACCTTGTCTAGATGGCATACAACGTAGCGTTAACTCATAATTGATTCTAAATATTATTATATAAATAAATGTAAAGGGTCTTAACAAAAAAAAATAATTTATAATTATCAATGAAGTGTACAAGATTTAGATACTACTTATTCATAAAGTTTTAGGCAGACAAATGACTTATAGGGTATTTGTAATACACAAAGAAATAAAATTAGTTTAATTCACGATTTTATCTATTAAGATCTAAGAAATATCTGGCTGTGATATTCTTATTTATAGCTTTGATAACTTCTATTGTCACGTCAGCGTGTTTCTCAAATACATAATATATATTCCAATTAGCGCAGTGTGCCTGATGAATAATCACTACTTTAAGAAAATAATATCATTAAATAATCTACATATAAAAACCATTTCGGTAAATAGAAGGAAACATATTTTGAATCATTTTCGAACCTCTTATAAAATTCTACTTCGTTATTATTTCCACTAAAGTAAAGAAAATTATTTAAAATAATGAATCCAGTTAATGGTCCTATTATCTGAGTTATCATATTTTAATTTAAGTAATGTATGTAAGTTTTGTTTTTGATTTGTTAAACCGATCTTATTATTTAATAAATAAAACTGTACAGTTTTGTACCCCATCAATTACATGTAATGAGATCTAAGATTGTCGGATTTCCTGAGCGTTTTAATTATTTTCTAACAACATAATCCCAACGCTTCGGTTGCTTTGCTGCAACCGTGATCACGGGCAGACGGAACAGGAACATCTTGTGTAAAAATAATTATAAATTCGTATTAAATCCTAAAATTATTAGTTTTATTTCAGTTACATATAAATTACTAAGTTATTGATTGAACAACTCATTATAGAATACAATTTAAAGTTAAGAACTAACAAAATTCAATTCTCAAACTTCCAAACATCCAACTTATTCAATATTCAAATATTTTTCCTGTCCCAGACATTCGTAGCGATTTTCTTGTCAAACTCTGAGTCCAAGTAGTTGGTCCTGACGTCCGTCAAAAATGAGATGAAGTCATTTTAAATTCTATTACCTTGAGCTAACCAGTTACCTTACCTACTGCAGACTTTAGAAGCAAACAGGAGGTTTAAATGTTACGAAAATATTAATAACTTAGTATGTCCTAGGAACATTTTTTACACACATATTATAGAACAAAGAAAAAGTTACATGGTTCTTAAAGCATCACTATTTCTTATTTACTGTTGTAAGTTTGACTTATAATACCCATTTCAATATAAAATAGTAAACTGACATATAATTATTTATAATTTAAAATTCCTTTTAAAGATAATAATATAAAAAAGATATCAATAAAGTAATTTAGACGTAGTACATCTGTGAATACCAATTTAAAATACAGAAACATCGATCTTCCCAAGGTAATGTGGAATGAGACAGTGTTAAGTGAATGTGACTCCTAAAACTATGTTCAAGTAAGAGGCACACTGGGCAAACTATATAATGACCTTCAATTAACTATATATGACATAATTTCAAACTATAACCCTACTACGAGCTTTCTAAACAACCATCAGTATTAAATATTAAACGACTCAAATACACCTATTATAAAGACATCGCATATTGTATCCAGTTCGTCAAATTGCTTATTAATTTGTACGTAAAAGTAAATAAAAACATCCAGATTAATAACTCAATAAAAATCACGATATGCATTCACCTTTACTCTGTTGATTGATACAGCATCACGATAAAAAAATAGTATTTTTAAATAAACATTCCCTGCAGAAGCGAACAGTTTTGTATTCAGATTGTATAAAGAATTCCTTTTACCTTTGGGATTTAAAATACGACTAATGATAATAAAACTTCCAATTTCTCAACTACAATATATCAAAAACAAATATTATTCCAGTTATAGGTAAATAGCATATCGTATCAAAAGAAAAATAAGACATTATTTACATTTACGTTTTAGTTATTGCTCTCAGTCTTTTAATTAGAGTTATAAAATAACTTCAAACTATTTAAAATAATATTCATTTACATATGTTGTTAAAAACTTCATAATATTTGAGACATTTTTCGTATAATTTTTTTTCAACAAATCAAAGAAAATTATTGAAAAGAAAAGAACTAATTAGTTGTCGATTGGGACTGATAAAATACTTTAGAACACTTTTTAAAGTTTATCATTCACGACGGCAACCGTTTAAAATTAATATAAGGGGTCAATGACCTCCCAGACAAGAATACCAAAACGATTTTAATCTTAATAATATTCTAAATATCTACAGTGTTTTTTAAATATTGTGTTTTGACTTACATTTTTTTAAATTAGTTTATTTCGGAATAAAAATATTCAATATCTTGTTGCTTACTAAATAACTTCTCTTAAGATATTTATGTAATTTTATATGAAGTAATAATACTCCGCAATTTAATAATTACATTACTTATAGCGTTAAAATTAATAGCTTTTACACATAAGCTTATATTATACAAAATATGTCACGAAATTTCTCGAACAATTAGTAAAATATTTCACTAATTATCATTATTTGTACAAATAGCTTTACGGAACATCTAACGGTACTATTTTCTGCTTCAGGTACGTTACGATCTTAGTTTTGCTTTGAGCTGTTCTCGTCATCTGGTCTAATTTGTATAATCATTATTCCCAGCTTAGAATTCAACCTAACAATACGAAAGTTATATACAATTAATTATATGAAGAAAATAAATAATATTTTGTATTAAAAGTATTCCATGTCATGTTTTGCCTCTACATTTATTAACTATATTGATTTAAACATGTTTATATGTTCATAAGAAACTTTTCTTGACCGACATACTTAAAGAAGTGATAAAATTATTAGAAAAACGTTATATTTTTTTCGTTTGTTCTCATTCCAGCCACGAAATTCAATATATAGAAGGGAAATTAGCATCCTTAGCTAGATGATGTTAATTTTGAAACGACGACGGTATACTGTGAGTGTGTATACAGACTTCTACGTGTGTCAGAGTTGAGAGAATTTTGTGAAATGATATTAATAGTTTAAAATGGTTGCTAACAAGACATACGTATTTATTTTGTGAGTATAAAATATATATATTTTTTAATTCTATACAGTTAATAAAACTATCTATGCATTTCTATTATCAACGTGTAATATAAAATAATATATTATATTTAATAATCAAACCCATTCACAATGTATAAATCACTTTTATATTCCAAAATACAAAACCTATTATGTTAGGAAGCAAAAATTCTTTAGACCGGCAACCGTCGGGCGCAAACTTCATTTTAATTTTAAATGTTGCCCTCCTCAAAGGCCATATTTCGTTCCTTGTATATTTTTCTTTCCTTAAAAATAATATAAGTTCTAATATTTCATTTATTCCAATGTTTTAATCTTTGTGTTTCATGGATTTATTAATATTTAATTCAAATAAAGTTTCTCAAGTAAGACGAGTTTCGTAAGTGAAATAAAATCTGAATTTAATATTTTTAAGTAAGATGAATTGCTTTAATTTCAACTATAGTAAAATTTATTTATAAAATATTTAAGTATCTAAGACTTGAAAAGCATTTTATTTACAATATTAAAATAATATAATGTATTGCCGAGATGTGTATAAAAATCGTTATTTCGAATTTGCAGATTTTTAAGTTTATCTTGTGCGAGAGGCGATATAACGAAAAGGGCATTGATATTCCCACCGACAAGTTTGTACGGCGTAAGTACATGTACAATCAGATACTTAATTTGAAAATATATACATATATAATATGTAGAAAAGGATTAACTAACTGCCACCTTAAAATAACCTTTATTCTTATTATGTACATCCTGCCAAGAATTTCATAGTAAAATAATCATAAATAGATATAACAATTATTTAATTTAACCTTCGAAAGTCAATATCTGATAAATAACATATTCCCGATTTAATTCAATTTTTTTAACATTAACCTTGCTTAAAGTAATAATCTAATTAAAAACTTAAGACAAATATACCATTCCTATAGTATAATGTTTCTCATACATTTTCAGTGAGATATACATATATATTATTGTTACAGACGTTCGTAGCTATAGCCGTACCGCTGGACATTCCTGATAAAAATGTATTCGTTTCATACAATTTTGAATCCAACTATTCCGTTGTCACCAACATCACCGAACTAGACGAAGTCATTTTCCCCAATCTTCCTGTGAGTATAACTTTTATTGCATTTTAATATCACGTATGATCATTCCCACAAGGAATAATAACCATTATTATAATGTTTTTTGAACGTTAAAACAATATCAAACATTTTATTTGGTTTGAAAGAAAGACTATATAACGCCCACAACAAATGTTTATGCAGTAGTATATACACCAATATTTGTATTAAATTTTTATCTAATATCTATGATAACATTGAAATTATTTAATATTGATTAATTAGCCATTTAATTTAATCTCAGTGGTTAAAGGGCCCGCCTCTTGTCGCAGAGGGCGCGGGTTCGATCCTGGCCCGGTCAAGTACCAATGTGATTTTTCCGAATCATATGTACTTTCTAAGACTATTTAGACACCACTGACATACGGTGAAGGAAAACATCGTGAGGAAACCTGGACTTATAGTTTCACAATTATAAGTTTGAAATCACCAACCCGTCTTGAGCAAGCGTGGTGATTAATGCTCAAACCTTCTCCATGTGAGAAGAGGCTATGCTCAGCAGTGGGCGTTAATAGGCTGATGACAATTAGCCATTTATAACGAAGCCATTTAATTACAAAACTCATTGGAATTACATACTAAATACGTATATTAATAAATCGTCATTAGAATGATTATTATTATTCAATTCATTGTTCTTATTTATTTACTGGATACTCGAAAATTTTATTATTAACAATTATTTCAAATATTTGCTGTTAAACTTGAAAAGGCTTTTTGGAAGTTTTCTGCCTCCTTTTCACAGTTCAACGCGTCTTTATACTTTTATAATTTTTTTTTACCTTATTTGAAAGGAATTGTTGAGATGTGGTTAACAGAGTTTTTGAATTCCTGATAAAAAATTAGTCGTAAAACAAGAGCGATATCAATCCTTACTCAATCAAAATCTGCAATATTATTGACATACAGTATTAATTGCGTCAATTTAAATAACCATAACCTTTGCTGGTAATACTAGTTGAAGAAAATTAAATAGATAAAAATCTACTTTTCTCAGTAAAAAGATTTTCTGAACATAATAATTAAATGCACATTATACATTTCAATTAATCTTTACTATATTTTTTTATTACAAGCACGTTACATTAGAACTGGCTCCTGCGCTTAATTTGAATGAATAATTATTATACAATTTATATTAATTAATATTCTTTTATTCAAATTTTACTTTATACATATTTTTATTCCTAAATCCTAAGATTATACAACTATTCGAAATCTTAAAACTATATAAATTACGTAAAATATCCAAGTTAAAGTCAAATTCAGATCACAAAATATCTTTAATATTGTCATTAACTATAACTGGTTGTATTTATACTAAAAAGACTTGTTAATACAACCCAAATGTTACACAAGTGCAAATTTTAACTCTCAAGAAAGTTATTGATTTTTCATGTCATAGTGATTATTTTTTTATTTCTACTTCCCCACTTGGTTGTTAATCATAAAAACGAAAAGTAGCCTCAGTAGCTCAATAACGAAATGATTCTGATCCCTGCAATAATTAATTCAGTATCATCATAAATGCGATTTTCATTCAATACAGCGGCGAGCGAGATATATTTATATAGATATATTTTAAGTAAACATTTTATTTTCTTCTTACATTACATCAACAGTCTAGATCTTAGCCTAATTAAAAACTGTGTGTTGTTTATAATTACTCCGTAATATCCTATTTATGGGTCAAATTTAACACAACTGGGTCAACTTTAATAGCATCTTCGCTTGTGAATTTCTTACAAAATTATTCATTATTTTTATAAAGAACGTAATGACCTTTAGTATATTATGTATTTAAATATGCGATATGTAAATGAGGGAGAAATTTGTCAAAAACTGTTGATTATATTTTGATTTAACTTCATAGGAGCGTATATGTACATATGTTAATATATAATATACACAAAATCGAACTGTATTATTTATTTATTAAACTCAGGTATTTGATTAACACTAAACATATTCAAATCAAGATCTTACGTAACGGAATATATTAAAATAGCGTTAATTTTCATAATGTCCAAATATTATAGAGATACCTTGCTTATATCACCTAACATTTAAATCTTAACAACATCCATATACTTACAATTAACAGTGCAAATCTTCGACACTAAAAGAAAAAAATGCCTATCTATTTAATGAAACTTTCTTTCAATGAAAGTTTTTCGGATACAGTTTCATATCTTCTGCCCGAGATCACGGTTGCTGTAAAGGAACCGAAACATCGGGATTATGTAGTAATAAGATAAAAAACGCCTAGTATCCCAGAGCTTAGTTTAATTTAAACGAGTTTTCGTGATAATCTTAGTATCATCTATCTATTTATATACAAAAAATTAAATTAATATTTCTTCATTAGGTCATAACCAGCCGCCAAAGCCGTAGTATCACTAGAGAATTGACGTATACCATGTTGGAAACAAAATTTAACGAGTAAGTAGCTATCTACATACATTATGCCTCGGGATTTATGAGGGTTTAGGAACTTAAATAACATGATTATAAGAAAGAACATACGAGCAAATTAATATGTAAATATTTTATTTAGAAAATAATTCTTCACTCTTATTTTGTATTAAAAATTTAAAATTATTATGCAATTTATTGGTCTTTGCTTTAGAAATATCAGAGCAATTTTGTTGAAATAAAATAATCACTTAATTATTAATTTAAAATAACTATTATGTATCATTATTATATATTATCTTACATAATGTGTTAACATTCTAGACACGGGATGAACGGCAAAGAATGCTTGCTGCGGAATATATGCGAAGCTGCGGAGACTCCGCTTTACCACAACGGGCTTCTGGGACATATTATGCACATTGTTTTCACGTAGGTCAAATATTTCATGTAGGAATTGTAGCATGCGCTTTATTTAAATTACATAATAAAACTCTATACATACTGCAACGGTATTAGAAGTAATGCTTTATATTATGAAATTAATTTAATTAATTATCAGCTTGGTTGTATAGGTAATAACTTAAAAGCAATGATTGTTTTTCATTATATTCTTATATAGAAAGTCAAGTATCTAATTTCTGCGTTCAAGTAAAGTGCTTCCCAAGTTCTGAGGCATCATTAGTTTTAATTAACTCAATCACTTGTAACATCGGTTGACAATTGGTAACAGATTGCCAATTAATTAATGTTTATAAATTGATGGTGCTCGTCCTTATTGCTTTGCACACACTCTGTATAATTAACTAGCCACATACAACAATTTTACTTCCACGTCAAAGTATATAAAAATACATGTAAAAACTGAGGGTCTATTAGTGTAATCTTTACATCGACGTTCACAACAAAATGAACAAGAAATTAATGTATGTAATATTAAGTTTTTTTTTAAGTCACAAGTTAAAACGAATTAATATGAACCTTATATATGTATCTTTAAGAACTATAATTTTACTCACCTTCAATATTAATGAATTATGTAAAAAGCAAACCAATGTGATACTCACAATAGTGATTTCTATTGAAACTAATCTTCTATTATGTAATGAATATTTTTATTTTTTTGATACATAATCATTATGGAATTTAATAATTTATGATTCTGAAAAAAAATATATAGGTTTCCGATTATATCGAAAGCATAATTTTGTTTAGGCGCATTGATATTATTAAATTATTATACTGACAAAATACTTCGATTATTTCGGACTAAATATATATGTATTGGTAAGGAAATATATCTATTTCTTTATCTTTTTCAGTCCATCTGCTTCAAAGGAGGAAGGTTTGAGCGATGAATACTACGAGGCGGAGGCTGACGGTCTACGAGGAGATTGCGATAAGTACATGGATGACTGCCCCTTGAGCCTCTTCGACTTCATAACACGACTGGTCGAAATACCACACAAACAATAAATATATACATTACGAAATAATTTGATAGTATTTCAATTTAATTCCTCAATTCATAACATCGTTTAATTGCAACCACCTATGCTAAATGCAATCTATTCCCCAAGACGTAGTGTTTCTTAATTTTGTTAAGAATGACCCAAATTGAAATGTAAAATAAATCGAAATAAATCAAAATCTAACTTTGTGTAGTACAAAAAATCTATTAATGGACCATTATTATTATAAGTAGTAATCAGTAAGACGCCAGGCAATGACTCACAGTTAAAACTCCCCTATTATTACCTGGTTTTTATAAAATATATCTGTTTCCAATGTATATTTATAAATATAAATCGAAAGTATATAAAATTATTATTAATTTAATCAAGTACAGAATTTTTGATTGACAAAAATATGTATGTGTGGCTTTCCTTTGAAACGAATACTTTTTTGTTTATAAAATTAAACTCTCAGGTATTAATAAAGCAAATGAAACAACATTTCGGAATATGCATTTATTATGTGTTAAATATTTATACATATTTTATTAAATAACAATAAAATTATTTACTTATAAACTCACAGCCTTACACTTAAAAGTGAAACGAAGATGACATATTTTTAACTACAATTTTCTTAATAATTTACTTCTAGTTTGACAATATTATCTAACCATTATTCATTATTAATATATCTTACAGTCTATTTCGTGTCTAAACTTATTATCGTGATATGTTAATATTGTAAATTAAAAAACATAAAAGAATGAGATTATGACTTACTTGACTTAGATTAATGAATTTTAACATAACTAATAATCAAGCCACTTAACTAATAATACCGATAGTTTCAATATCCTTGGGGTAGAAGAAGTTGTTCTTTCGCATGGGTATCGATGATATCTGTTGATCGACTGGTACCCTGGTGTCGTAAAGTGAGGGTGATTGGAAGATGATTCCGAAGGTGCCCACAAAACAGGCGATGGTAAACAGCCACAGAAAGAAACGATCCAGCACCATAGACATGAACTTCCAGTCTTCCACAACCTGGTAAGAAATAATTTTGATTATCGTAGAAATTTCAAAGAAATCTAAATATTATTACGTCTCCAACATTGCACAAGTTGAACTGAGCGCAAACTATTTCACAATTACTAAAGATGCACTCTCGCGATTAATTACAGCACGCCCTTTAACTAGAAACTGAGAAAATTTGCAATCTAAAATGTTAATTAAAACTTTAAGTTGAAAGCCTAGCTAGCTGTTCTTTATAAACTTACATTTAATTATTTGATATCTTCTAGATCAATTCTAGAAACGAGAGCGTAAAAAACATCGAAAAACACTGATCTGATTAAGGGTATACCTGTTCAGAATGTAATTTAAAAATTTAAAAAGATTCAAGTCCAATTTCGTCCAGAAGCTATTAACTGGAAATCTGTTTATTAGTTTTCAAAGGTCCTTAATTGAATCTTTTTTAGATGACAATAAAAACGGCTTCCATTATTTCACTGCTTACATAAGTAATGAATCCCTATTATAGAACAATTTCCTGTCAGAAATTAAACTCTGTAGCAAGGTAAGGTGGTCTTACCCTGTGTCGCTTTGAACATTTAAATTTAAAGTTAATGAAAAATGATGAGAAACTTAAGAGATAATATTAAAAAATGTAAATGTAATAAGTTAGAATGTATTACTAATTTCCATGAAAACTTTTCCCATGTTTTGAATAAAATGAAGTAAGATTGTGTTACAGTATATAACAGTCGATATAAAATATGTATGTTATGTACTTATATAGTAATGTTAAATATGAAATGAGCCTTAAAATTAAGTATAATAAATATAATTCAATATGTTTTACAAGTTTGTTTTGTTATCGTCTTTGAATTTAAAAAAATGGTAAAAAAACACCTTATCCATGAACTTTGTTATCAACTTTGTCTGAAGAATTGCTCGATTTAAAATAGTAATGCAAATATTTATAAATTGTTCAACGTAATTGAAACATTTCAAATATTTTAGCTCGATAAAGATCAACTCCTAGATCTAGCATTTCTACAGGTCTTTTACAGAGAAAAAAGCAACAACAATATCGTTTATTCTTCAGTTCTTATAGTAAAATCATAAAAGGAAGTAAGTATACCAACAAATGAAATGATTCAATAGATTTCAAACGATTAAAAATATGTAATAAGATTAACTTTGTTCGCTTAATATCATAATGAGGTCATATTGTACATTCACGTCTGATTGTAATTCCGTATTTGTGAACAAATATTGATACATTAACATTACTGTTGTCTTTTTGTATTGAAAACGAGAAAATGAAATGGAAGCACAAACAAGATAATCAAATAAAGGTTTATTTAATTATTCCGTATTACAAAAAACGTGTAATGATCATTTCTTATATACATAGTTTTTTTATTATTACGTATTGTTAAGAGCATATATTTGAATTTTTATATAATTGAAAGCATTATTATATTCTTATTGCTTTAGATTACTCAGACGTGCTTGTGAAATATCATAACTATTACATTGAACATTAATTTATCTATGACTTAACCAAGTGCATATTTCCAATATGTATGACTGCGATAACAATCCACTAACAATAACTTAACCGCAATGTTATCTGGTATTCAAAAACAGCATTTATTTTCTTTGCATTAAGGATTACTGCTGATACAGAATTTACAAGGGATAGGAAAGCAAGTGCGATGTAATCCCGAGGGAAGTGTGCACTCGAAGTAATTCTAGAGCAGGGGTTGCTTCGTTTGCCACAACTTTGTGCTGCTAAATGAAATCTAGTGGGACCCCCTGGTGTTAATTACTGTATGTCTTAGTGAAACTTAATTAAAAATATACTATTAATGTCACCAATGATTATCGGACTACTGACAAACGAAATCTCATTGCAAGCTACTTTGCTTTAATTTCATTGTATACTACTATATACATAATCGACTGTACATTGAAAACAATATAAAAAAACACTGAAAATCGTTTTGAAAGCGCAAGCACATTTTTCATATTTGCTTTAAAAATTCACAGTGTAAGATTCGCTCTTGTGAATTTGAGGGTAAATCGAAATTCAATATCCGTTTCAGAAGTGAGTGCAGTCCATATAACCGGTTTTGAGGATATTCAGAGACACCCGTTAAACTTTTATGATCACTCTAATAGTCAACTGAATTTCCATTCCAATATCTGTGTAGAAATTGAGTGGACTATTAAGCTAGGATTGTACATGTGGACTGTTTAGCGTTACCTTTTAAGGTATTCGAACTTACAAAGATGTTTTCGAGCCATAGTATTAGTTATATAGAATGTCACGAATAGTCCTTTGATACGTATATTAATGCACAGCTTCTATGTACAAAAAATATTGTAAGAGATTCATATATCTATGTATTTGTTACTTGACTTATATACATTGATTGTAATATATTGTACATGTTATGTGCTGCCCAGCTGAAACAAAATTAAGCATATTTTTGTCAATAATTTTTCTAAAATCATCAATTTTAAACTTCAGACACGCGGAACAGAATAAATCTAAAGACCTCACAGAAATTGAATATCCCCATTTAAATTAATAACACTCCAAAACTATCCTTATAGTTTTAACAAAATTCATTAACTTTGAACAACTTAATTAACAAGTTTTTTGCTGCTCGATAAGTTTTCTGAGGGTGAATCAAAGTGAAAATTTATTGTAAATTAAATTTAATATGAATTAAACAACGAGCTACTTACTCTCTTTTTAACGCTATCTTAAGTTGAAGAGACACGCACGGTCACAATAAGACGTGCGTACTCTTAAGCATGGGGAAGATATGAGTACATATAATTAGTTCCCACCCTTCACGACTCAGTGATACTTTACAGAAACATAGAAATGTTTTTCAGAGTTTATAGAATTATTTGTATATTTTATACATAACATACCACTAATTTATTATATGTACTATCTAAAATTGTTACTTCATACTACAAGGAAGACTAAGAATTGTATTAAAATTAGTAGGTGATATAAGTTATCGTCAGATTTATTGTATATGTCAATTATTTTTATAAGTTAGTTATTGAAAATTCTCATCAAAACAAGCTAAGCAGTCTGCTTTATATATACTGCTATTATTCGTCAAACTATTAATATAAATATTATATCTAAATTATAATATTAATCTCCTATCCATAGCCAATAGAATATAACTCAAAAACCTTTTTTCCCCTCCAACTAATTTCAAAAGACGATAAAACCGCGTACACATTATTTTACAAGTAATTTTGGGCTTTTTTAAATTCAAACCGCGTCCCTCCCATTAAGATAAGGGCCGGCCATTAATAAAGGGGCAAACAAAGTGAATAAACCATTTTTTAAACGTCACAATGTTGGAAGATCGTTTCATATTGATGAGATATCAGTTCTGATGGATGACTTGATAGCTGGCAATAGATTTATAGTACAACTAGACATCGTATCTAGTTGCATAAACAATCAGAAATAAAATATTTCACCTTTGTTCCTACGTTTTTTTATTGCGTCTCACCCAAATACAAACATGATAATATCAAGGCAATTCGACCTTTTTTATCTACTTTCGTTCTTCGGACGATCTTTAACCGCAAATTCCCCTCACTAGCTATACATATTTTCATTGTTATACAATACATCGCTGGTACTTGGTACAAGTTTGTTACTTTATTTAATGCCAATCTAGCTTGGAACTAACTTTAGGTAAACAAAATTCTGAACTAAGTTTAGCGTTTCACACAGGTAATAGACACACGTTTTTTAAGTCTAGTTTTTCCATGATATATTTCATATAATGATCTCCTATAAAATATGATAAATATACAGCAAATACTTGTTACTTCGTCTAAAAGATAAACCAATTATAAAATACCTTTGCCAAATACTAACAAAATATCTATATAACATTAAACTATTCTACATATCATAAAAGTAACAAAAATAAATTATAAATTATATTGAACTTCATAGAACTTATTTAATATCAAAAGAAATGTAAGACATTTAAATTCCAAGAGACCCGAGCTATAATTTAACGTGAAAATCTTATTCCCGATTGTCTTAAACGCTCCCCTATTACGTGTATGTAAACAGTTGGAAATAAAAAAACCGCTTAAGTGCTCCCAGAACCGAAGATAAATCCACATTCAAACTGGATTCCTTGGTTAATCCGACGAAATGGTTTTAAAATTTATTCGCCCGACGGGTGCTATTTATATCGGCGTCTCAAAAATGAACCGCAGTTATCTACGGACCGTAAAAACGTGTCCGGAATTACAATTTCCAGCAATCATTCCGTTCTTTGTATATTATGAAGCAAATTGGCCTAGTTTCAACTGTAACATAAACGATCGGAACGTATATCAATCCGATTCAACTATTTCTTTAACTTGATTGCCTGTTCGTGATTGCGATATGCTTCAACAGCATATTTCCGAAAATTTTATCTCAATTTTCAACATATCGTTTAATAACTTTGTATAATGAACCAAATAATACAACGCGGAAAGTTGGTTAACAGAATTTTAACGTTCGAAACCTTAGGGCAATTTTAAATTAACTTCTGTTAAAGTTAGTCATGTGCTACACGTCTGATCAATTCGGTCTTTGTGAAAGTTTAAAATAAAAAATATATGTATATTCAATATATCTTTCGTGTTACCGTTGAAACTTCCATTCGTTTAAACGTCAAAGTTTCAGCCAATGAACGTTAACCTATTCGCGGTGAATTCCTTGTTATAAGAATGACGTCTAGCCACATTATTATAAAACTTTGCTGATGCACTATGTAAGGGGTAAAGTTTGATGTTTTGGTAATGTGATTCGTTATTTTAATATAAGTTCTGATTTTAATATTAAGATTATGATTTAATAATCTAAAGTTATCTATCATTTAAAGCGTGATGGCTTATGGCTCAACGAATTTGATCGAACAATATAGGAGAATCCCATAATAATTCTGATATTGAAAAATAAATAAATCTGGTTTTGTATTGTATAA